GGCACACATTAAGGTAAATTCTCACCTTTGCAACGCTGTGCACGAACCACCCGCCATTATCAACGACACTCCTGAGGAATTGTACCCGAGGCAGCACAAGCTGCTTCCAGTTAGGCGTCGTCTCCTGTGCGACGAGCACCAGGGCAAACAAGGCGTTAGTTAGGAGCCTGTTAGGGACATGAGCCGCACGCGGCGCCCGACGCCGGCGGCGGCCTCACGCCCGCGCAGATGGTCGAGGCCGCCTTGATCGCGAACGCGGACCCCAAGACGGGGTTCGGCATCCTCAAGGGCCACCTGCCCAACAGGGGCGGCACCGTCGAGGCGCGGCTCGCGCCGCCGCCGCGGAACGCGCCGCCGCGGCCGCGGCACCGCCCGGCCTGCGACCGCCGGCCGAGCGTTCGCCGTGCCCGGCGAGATGATGGACGGTCTCGGCGGCCGGCGCGCCATCGCCTAAGAAGAAGTCGGTGTGTAGCGACGATGGACGTTGAATGCGTGTTTGAAGGAAAGAAGCAGAGGCGACATTCACAATGTGCCGCCTCCTCCTGGCCTGCGCGGGCGACGGCGCCGACGACATCCCGCTGGACTCGCTCGTCAAGGCGAAGTCCACCACTCGGTCGAAGCTCTTCGGCCTGCAGCGCGGCGAGCGGCTCCACGGCTTCGGCGTCGCGTGGCTCCCGGTGCGCGGGCCGGCGGGCTGCGTCGTCACGCTCCGGCCGCCGCTCGACGACCTGAACGTGCGCCGCGTCGCCGCGGCGGCGGGTGGCCGCGTCGCGCTCGCGCACGTGCGGAGCTGCGCCTGCGACAGCTGCCCGGCGACGACGTACTGCCCGGCGTCGGAGCCGAACTGCCAGCCCTTCGCGCGCGGAGAATTGGTCTTCGCGCACGTCGGCATCCTCGCGCACCACCGCGCGCTCGCGAAGAGCGGCGGCGAGGCCGCGCGGCGCGCGGACGCCGCGGGCGCGCTGGACTGCGGCAACTCGGACAGCGCGTTCCTGTTTCGCGTCTTCGTCTCTCTGTACGACGAGACGCGGGACGTCGCCGCGGCGCTGCGGCGGCTCGCGGCGCTCGTCGCCGCCGACGCGCCGCCCTCGTCGCTGAATCTGGTCGCGGCCGACGGCGCCGGCGCGGTCGCGCTGCGGTTCCGGTCCCCGGGCGACGGCCGGCCGCCGCCGCCGCTCTGGTACGCGCGCGGGAAGCGCGGCGGCGTCGTCGTCGCGTCGGCGGCCGTGCGCCGCGACGACGTCGACCCCGGCGCCTGGGCCGAGGCCCCCGCGGGGACGCTGCTCCGGTGGACGCGGGCCGGCGGCCTCGAGGCGACGCGGTTCGCGCCGGAGGCGCCGCGGAAGTTCGCGCCCCCCGGAACCGAACGCGCGCGCCCGCCGCCCGAGGACGAGGTGCCGGCGCCCCCGAGGCCGCCGCGGGCGCCGGCTCCGGCGAAGAAGGACGGCGCGGCGCTCAAGGCCGCCGACGCGCGGCTCCGCGCCGTCGTCGCGGCCGCGGCGAGGGACGACCCGGCCGCGGGCAAAAGGCTCGCGGCGGCGAAGAAGCGGATCTACGCCGCGCTCAGGGGCGCCGCCGCCGTCGACGCCGCGGCCGTCGACGCCGCCGTCGCCGAGCTCGAGGGGGCGCGGGCGCCGCCGCCGCCGAGCTACGCGGCGCGCCTCGCGGCGTGCGGCGCCGGCGGCGACGGCGACGCCGCGCGGGCGATCCTCGCGGAGCTCGAGGCCGCGCGGCCGGGCGCGCCCGCGGCCCACGCCCTCGCGCTGCTCCAGGCGCGCATGTACGACGCGCGCTACGAGGACGACGGCGCCGAGGGCTCCGCCGGCGGCGACAAGGCCGGCGTCGAGGAGGTCAAGGACGTCATGGCCTCGGAGAGCGCGGCGTTCCGCGGCGTCTTCGCCGCGGCGCGGCGGGGCGCGCCGTCGCCGGCGTCCCTGCGCGTGCTCGACTTCGGCTCCGGCGACGGCCGCTACCTCGCCGAGTTCTGCCGCACCGCGGCCGCGGTTTTGCAGGGCGGCGACGAACTCGAGGTCGTCGCCTACGACGTGAGCGCCGGCGCGCTCCGCGCGTTCCGGCGGCGCTGCCTGCGGGACGCGGGCTTTTCCGCGCGCGGCGGCGGCCCGCTCGGTGCTGTTGTGAAGGATGTGGCCGCGGCCGGTGGTGGGACAGCCGCACTCACGATCGCCTTCGTCCGCGGCGACGCCGTCGCGTCGCCGGAGGCCGTCGAGGCCCTGCTGCGGTGCGGCGCGGCGGGCGACGTGTTCGACGTCGCGGTGTCGGGCTGGGGGAGCACGTCGGCGATCCCGGACCTCGAAGGCGCGCGCGGGCCGTCGCGGCAGGACGGTTTCGTCGCCGCGCTCTGCCGCCTCGCGCCGCGCCTGCTCCAGGTCGTGTCGTCGGCGAACAACTTCATGGGCCCCCAGCAAACCTACGCGGACCTCCGCGCGGCGCGCGCGCCGCGGCGGGATCCGATGCTGAGGCGCTCGACGCGCGGATCCGCCTCGCGACGCGGCCCGGCGACTTCTACTACCCCGTCGCGGGCCACGACTACTTCTTCTCCGCCGTGACGCCCGCGCGCGAGCGCCAGCGGCTCCTCGCGGCGGGCTTCGCCGAGGCGACCATCTCCGCGTGCAACGTCGTCTCCTTCCGCGACATCCTCGGCAGCGCCGTCGTCGCCAAGCTCGAGCGCGCGGCGTTGCGGCTCGTCGACGCCGACGACCACCTGGGGCTCCAGCGGCTCCTCGCGCTCGGCGCGGCGCGCGCGACGGGCGAAAAGGCGCGGCGGACCGCGCGGCTCTTCGACCCGGACCGCACGCTCGTCGACCAGGCCGCGCGCTACCTCATCTCCGTCGCGCGCCGCTAGCCGCGTTACGAGCACCCTAGGAGAGGCGCTTGGGCCGGAAGGGCACCGCGGAGAACGTGTCGCCGGGGTGCTTGAAGAGCGGGTGGTAGCCGAAGTCCTTCTGGAGCATCTTGATGCCCTTGTCGTGGAAGGTGCGCGCCTTGTCGTAGTGGGTCTTGATGCCCTCCGTGTTCTTGCCGTAGGTCGACTGGAAGGGCCCGATCTCGCCTGGGCAGGACAAGCGTGCGAACTTTCCAACTTTGGAGGCTCGTATCTCGGTCGGTCTCCGCTCAATTCGGCCCATTTTTGGACGAGCGATCATCTCTCGGAGCGCTCTCGACGCGTGGATGCTTTTTCCGGAACGCGCGCGCGCGGAACACTCATGTTGAAGCGAACTTGAATCACTCTTGTCCTGCCCCGGATCTCGCGGTCGTACGTCTCGGCCCAGCCCTCGTTCGCGTCGAGCCGCTTCTTGATCTCGTCGCGCCGGATCTGGAGGCGCTTGATCTGGCGCTCGTACTCCGCCTTGCCGTTCTCGTCGGCCTTGATCTCGCCGTCGAGCACGTTCAGCTTGTTCCGCAGCGTCTCGACGACGCCGACGATGCCGCTCGCCGTCAGGTTCATCTTGTCGAAGGTCTGGGGCGTCATCTTCAGCTCGCTCGGCTTCTTCTTCTTCTGGCTCGCCATGGCGCGGCGCCGCGCCGGCGGGGAGCTCCCCGGGGGGCGTCGAGCGGCGGCCCGGGGACGACGACGGGGGAGGGCTGCTGCGTTTTAGCCAGGGATGTTGTTCTTACGCTTGAAGGCCGATATGTTGTGGATGCGGCCGTCAACTTCGACCTGAAGCCCTTTTCGATCGCGTTCGAATTCGTTCCTATAGCTAGGCCTACCATATGTGGAAGCTCGATTCCCCTTCCGCGCCCGCCGGGTCGGCGAAGATGTCGGGCGGGTACGCGACGAAGGACGCCGCCGCGACGCGGCACTCGCCGTCGGCGTCGTAGTAGAGCGCCCGCGCGACTTTCGCGAAGTTCCTCGAGAGTTCACTGTGATAGCCGGTGTCGAGATAGGCGCCGGGTCGGAGCATGTGCATGAAGCCAGCGAGCGGGTCCATCACGACGAGGCCCCCGAAGGCGCACGCGCAGAAGTGCTCGAGGCTCATGGCCCGCTTCGAGCCCGCGGGAAGGCCGAGCGCCTCGCTCCCGAGGCTGTCGCGGATCGCCCGTTTGAAGGCCGCCGCCTCCGTTCGAAAGCCGAGGCGAAAGTCCATCCCCTGCTCTCTCGGATGGTCGCCGGACATGAGGTGAACGTGCGCGGAGTACGTTTTCCCGTCGTGCTCGAAGTCGAGGTCGACGTTCGCCGAGAACGCGGACGCGCATCCGACGCCGCTGGCGTGGCTATAGGCCATGTCCGCCTCCTCCTCCATGCCCACGATCCAGGCGCCGTCGTCGCCCTGCTCATAGGTCATGCAGTGGTCGCCGTTGAACTTGACGACGAGCGAGGCGCCCGACGCTTCGTGCGTCCACGTCGCGCGATGGGATATGGACCGATGGAGATTGACGCGGCCCGGACCCATGTCCCGCCGCGAGGTCTCGGGGCGACAGGGCGCGAACTCGGCCAGCGCGAGGCCCTCGAGCCAGGGCGCGTCGCCAGCGACGCCCAGGAGCGCGGATCGCACGCGGTCGCCGATGTCCGCGAGCCGCGCCCTCTCCGCGGCCGTCGGCGCCTTGGTCGCAGGCTTCTTCTTGGCCTTGGTCGCCGTGCTTTTCTTCTTGGCCGGCCTGGCCGCGGGCTTCTTGGCCTTGGTCGCCGTGCTTTTCTTCGCCCGCGCCTTCGCGGGCGGCTTTCGCGCCGCGGGCTTCCGCGCCGCGGGCTTCTTCGCGACGGGCTTTGTCTTCGCCGGCGCCGCGGCCGCGTTCGCGCGCTTCGCGGAGCGCGGCCCGCGGCGCAGCCGCGCGGCGTCGTCGGGATCCGACAGGTCGAGAGGTTCGCAGTACATGCGGAAGCGCGCGGCGTCGTACTTGAAATGCGCCACGCGCGGCTCCTCGCGCTGGCTGATGTAGCCGGCATGCCACACGCCATTAACCTCGAGCTCGACCGCGTCGCCCACCGCGTAGTCCATGTTGTTATGAAGCGCTGTTTTTAATTAAGTTCAACATCTCTTTGACTCATGATTTTGATGTTGAAGTCTGGAGCGGCGTCGAGCCGCCATGTGCACAGCCCGGACTCCTTACGCCGGCGCCCCGTTGTCGTCGTCCTGGGGCGACGCGAGGGCCCGGAAGCCGAGGTAGGTCGTCAGGAGCAAGGCCGGCACCGTGAGCGCGGGCATGATCCGCGGCGGCCAGTGCGCGTAGAAGCGCGCCGCGACGAGGAACGCGAGCCGCCGGAGCATCTGGAGGTAGTTCTGGTACTCCGTGTGGTCGTTGTAGATGGCGGCCATGAGGATGATGAGCGTGCAGAGGCTGCTGGACACGAAGTTGTTGATGCGTCGCGTCGACGTCGTCTCGCCGGCCTTCGGGATCGCGTGCTGCAGCGCGATGGCGCCGAGCCAGTTGACGAGCCCCTGGAGGAAGCAGACGCGACATGCGAGGTACTCGAGCTCGAACGTGACCTTGAGCATGGCCATGGGCGTCGCCGCGGCCGCCGCCGAGCCGTCGCTCAGGAGCATGGTGCCCGTGATCGTCGTGATGAAGACGGCCAGAATCTCGAGCGTGAAGGCCGAGATGAGCATGAGGCGCACGCCCTTCTTCGCGACGCGGACGCGCCGCCGGTCCGCGGCGCGCGGCGCCATGGACGGGTCGTTCTCGACGTCGTAGAGCGACGCGATGACGGCGCCGGCGACGAGCGACGCGGGCGCCGCGTAGTTGGCGCACCACTCGTAGGCGTCGAAGCGCAGCTCCGCGGCGCTGCGCACGGCGGCGGCGAGCGGCAGCGCCGAAAGCCGGGTGGGTTGCCGGTGCTGCGCGTGGCGGCGGTGCGCGCGTCGCGGCAGCGACGTCGTCGGCGCCACGAGCGCCGCGGTTGCGTGGAGCAGCGCCGCGCAAATGACGCGCCGCATCGTTGGCAGCCCGACGGTGCCCGACGGTCGGGAAATCCGAGCCGACGACGACGAGAAGCAGTGGCTTCTCGACCTCAAGCGCTGCCCGGTGTGCTTTGTCCACAGTTCGGCGAGCGCTCGGCAAGACTCGTCGAGGTCCTCGAGATCGCGAGGGCCGTCGAACAGTCAAATGTCGTTTTACGAGCACCACGGTCATGAACAAAACCAGCGCCCGCTCCCCGACGGCTACGGCGACCTTCGCGAGGCGCCCGCCGGCGGCGGCGCCGACGCGCCGGAGCCCGAGGCGGCGCCGCCGGCGGCCGTCTCGCAGGTCCACCGCGAGGGCGCCCCGCGGCCCGCGGCGCGGCCCTTCTTCCGCGAGCCGCGGTCGCGGTCGCCGAGCGGCGGCCGCTTCGGCTTCGCGCAGGGCATCGGGTGCCGCGAGGAGCGCTACCGGCGCGGCCGCTACCTGAGCCGCGCGAGCTCGAGCCGGAGCCGGAGCCCGAGCTCGAGCCGGAGCCGGAGCCGCCGCCGCCGAAGGAAGCGCCGGAGCCGGCGGCGGTCGCGCCGCGGCGACCGGCGGCGGCGGTCGCGGCGGCGGCGCCGCGCCGACTCGACCGCGTCGGACTCGTCCGGCGACCACTCGCCGAGCCGCGGCGCGCACGGCCGGCCGCACCCGCGGCGCCGCGCCGACTCGCCCCGCCACGGCCGCGGCCGCCCCCGGGACCAGGTCGACTACTCGTCGGTCTCGTCGCTGAGCTCGTCGCCGTCGGAGTCGTCGCGGTCGCGGTCGCGGCCGCGGCGGCGCCGCCGCCGGTCCCGGAGCGCGGCCCGCGCGGCGCCGGCGGCGGCGCCGGCGGCCGCGGCGCCGGCGGCGAGGGCCGAGGCCGCCGCGCCGCCGCCGCGGGCCGCGTCGCCGGGCCCGGGGTCGTCGCGCGGCGACCGCGACCCCCGGGCCTCGCCGGTCGACGACCCGGAGCCCGCTGCGCCGGCGCCGCCGGCGCGCGAGGCCCTCCGGGACCACGTCGTGCGGCCCGAGGAGATCGAGGCCAAGGCGCGCCGCATCGCCGCGGAGCTGCTCGAGGCCAAGGCGCGTCTCGCCGCGGCGCGCGCGCCGGCGCCGCCGGCCGCCGTTCCCGCGGAGGAGGCGTACGACGCGGCGGCGGCGGCGGACGCCTACGGCGCCGCCGACGCGGAGGACGTCGCGGCCGAGGAGGACGGCGGCGCGGAGGCGGCGGAGGAGGCCGGCGGCGCGGAGGCGGCGGAGGAGGTTGCCATTCGCCGCGATCGCCGCCCATATTCCCGCCGCAGAGGACCCCCCCAGGGCGCGCCGAGCCTCGGCGCCTTCGTCCGCGACAAAAAGACGGGGAAGACGCCGCGGCGCGAGGGCGTCGTCGTCGAGGTCAAGGGCGGCGGCTGGCGCGTCGTGCTCTCGGCGGACGGCGCGCGGTGGACGCAGAAGAACAATTTCCTCGGCGCCATCCTGAACCGCGGCCCGCCGGCGTCGCTCGTGGCGCGCTGCGCGGCCCTCGGCTGGGACTGCGCGGCCCTCGGCTGGAGCGAGACGCCGGCCGGGGAGGCCGCGGCGCCGGAGGAGGCCGCGGCGCCGGCGCCGCCGGCGCCGCCGGAGGCGGAGGACGACGACGGCGAGGCGGAGCTCGGGGCCGCGCTGCAGGCGGCGCTCGCCGCCCGCGGCCCGCGGCCCTCGGCGACGCTCGCGGCCGCGCTCGCCGCGCTGCCCTCGCCGGGGCCGGCGCCGGCCGCGGCGGCCGCGCCGGCCGCGCCGCCGGCGCCGGCGCCGCCGGCCTTGGAGGTCGGCCCGGCGCTCTTCGGCTTCGTCGACGCCCTGCCGCCGACGCTCGCGGACGTCGAGAAGATGACGGCCAAGCAGCTGCGGAAGGCGCTCCAGGAGCGCGACGTCGAATTCAAGAAGGGCGACCCGAAGCGCATCCTCAAGGCCATGCTCCTGGGGCACATGGGCCTGTGAGCGCGGGGTGCGCGCCTAATCTCGGGAATTTGGCCGCGAGGAGGACGGTGTGGGAGAGCGGTCGCGAGACCCCCGGCGAGATAATAACTAGGATAGGCCGGAGGCCTTCTCCCGACCTCGCGCTCTCAGATTTTAAGCTTAAACTATCAGAGCTCACCACTCGTGCCGCCCGGCGAGCGCCTAATAACAACATGTCGTTCCAGCCCCCGGCCGGTACGTGCGCCCCGCGACCCCGCGCGACCGGATTTCGCGCGAACCATCGCAAATCGTTCGACGCGTCCGCAGGTCCCGGATCCTTTGGTGCGCTCTCGTCGCCGGCGCCGCCCAAGCGGCCCCACGAGGGCGGCGGCGAGGACCCGGACGCGAAGAAGCCGCGCGAGGACGCGCCGCCCGCCGCCGCGCCCGCCGCCCCCGCGCCGGTCGCGCCCGCCGCGCCCGCGGGGCCGTCCGAGGACGAGGTCAAGGCCAAGCTCGCCGCCGTGTGGAAATCAAATCTTCAATGTGCGCGTATGCGACGGTTTCGACACGAGCTCTTCTGCCGTGCTTCGAGAACTCGACGAGAGCAATCGATCCGTCCAAAAATCAGCCGAATCGACTTCGATTTGACGGAGCTAGAGAGTTCTGAAGTTTGGTGGGGACCCCCCAAACCAGTGGTTGATTTCCACACAGGCTCGCCGCGGAGGCCGAGGCCGCGCGCAAGCAGCGCGAGGCCGAGCAGGCGAAGCGCGAGGCCGACCTCCGCGCGGCGAAGCAGGCCGAGGCCGAGGCGCGCGAGAAACAGCGCGCGGAGGCCGAGGCGCGCGAGCGCGCGGCCGCCGCCAAGGCCAAGGCCGACGCGGAGGCCAAGGCCAAGGCCGCGGCGGAGGCCCAGGCCAAGGCCGCGGCGGAGGCCAAGGCCAAGGCCGCGGCGGAGGCCAAGGCGGCCGCGGAGGCCAAGGCGGCCGCGGAGGCCAAGGCCAAGGCCGAGGCCGACGCCGCGCCCGCGCCCGCGCCCGCCGCGCCGCCCGCGCCCGCCGCGCCCGCCGAGGCCGCCGCGCCCGCCGCCGAGCCCGCCGCCGAGGAGGCGCCCCTGCCGCCGCCCATGGAGTTCAAGAAGAAGCCCGCGCGCAAGGCCAAGGTCTGGACGGTCGAGGCCGTGGAGAAGCTCACGGTCGCCAAGCTCAAGGCCGAGCTCAAGAAGCTCAAGCTCGACCAGGAGGGCCGCAAGGCCGAGCTCAAGCAGCGCCTCCTCGAGGGCCTCGGCCTCGCCAAGGCCGAGTAGGCCGCTTCGGGCCGCCCCAAGCCGCGGCCCCGCGAAAGGACGCGCCCGCGCGTCGTAAGGAAGAGGCTCGTCAGCCGAAACTTACGCTCCGGTTCAGGTCCGACGTGACCCAGTCCCGGATCGCCGACGGCTTCCGCGTGGGGGCCGCGTTCGCGTGGTGGCGGTAGCCGTGGACGCCCGGCTGGACCGTCGCGCGGAGGCCTGTGTGGGAATCAAATCTTCAACACGACTTCAATGTGCGCGTGTGCGGCCGTTTTCGACACGAGCTCCTCTGTCGTGCTTCGAGAACTCGATGAGCGTGATCGATTCGTCCAAAAATCAGCCGAATCGACTTCGATTTGACGGAGCTCGAGAATTTCAAAAGTTTGGCCGGGACGTCCCAAACCGGTGGTTGATTTCCACACAGCCGGAGGCCGATGGACCGGCCGAGGAAGGTCACGCGGTTCAGGTAGGACTTGTCGCGCCTCCGCCGCTTCTCCGCGGCGGCGAGCGTCGGGTCGGGCCGGTCGTCGTCCCGCGCGGGCGCCGCGGGCAGCGCGGGCAGCGCGGGCAGGCCCGGCGGCGGCGGCGCGGCCGCGGCGAGCGCCGCGCGCCGCGCGGCCATGGACGCGCGCCGCGCCGCGGCCTTGGACGACGCGACGCCCCGGGCCTGCTTCGCGAGGCGCGTCGCCCGCTTCCGCTTCTTGCGCTCGACCTTGAGCTCCGCGTCCGCGGCCTCGAGCTCCGCGGCGGCCGCGAGCTCCTCGGCGCGCTGGACGTCGCGCACGTGCGCGTCGGCCGCGGCGGCGCGGTCGCGGCGCCTCGCCGCGCGCTCGGCCTTGCGCGCCGCCGTGTCCGGCCGCTGGCCGCCGCGGCTCCCGCCGCGGCTCGAGGACCGGAGCGGCGTCGGCGCGTCGGAGAAGGAGACGACGGCGCCGGGCGTCCGCGGGCGCCGCCTCGCGCCGGGCGTCGACGCGCGGCGGGGCGTCGTCGGCGTCGCACCGCGGTCGCGGTGCCGCTCGAACGCCGCGGCCGCCTCCTCGACGGACCGCGTGACGATGCGGAGGCCCGTGTGGCCGTAGGTCTTGCGCTCCGCGTGCTTCGACTTGGGCCGCGGGACGCCGTCAGCGCCGAAGACGCACTCGCCGTGGTCGCCGATGGGGTTGCCGTTGAAGTCGTGCGTGTGCTCGTGCAGGTTGCTGTCGCGGAGGAGCGTGCCGCCGCGCGTCGTCGGGCGGAACGTGCCCCCGGGCGTGAGCGGCGGCACGAGGTGGCTCCCGTCGGGCGTCTTGGGCCGGCGCAGGCCGTGGTCCGCGAGGGGCTTGTGCTGGATCCGGCCGCCGGGCGTCAAAGGCCGGAGCGAGCCGCCGGGCGTCAGAGGCCGGAGCGTCCGCGTCTCGCGCGGCGTCGTCGCGAGGCGCGTGCCGCCCGGCGACAGGGGCGTCGCCGGCCGGCCCGACTGCGCGTTGGCCACGTCGACGCGGAGCCGCACGAGCAGCGTGCCGCCGGGCGTCGTCGGCCGCAGCGTGCCGCCGGACGTCGTCGGCCGAGCGACGGTGCCGCCGGGCGTCCGCGGCCGCCGCGCGCCGCCGACGGGCGTCGACGGCGGGTCGTCGTAGTCCGACGCCGCCGTCGGCGGCCGCGAGATGGCCGTGATGCCGCCGTCCTCGACGGGCAGGCCCAGCGGGATGCACTTGGTCAGCCGCGCGGCGCCGTCCCTCGCCTCGTCCGCGGCGTCGCCGGCCGCCTCCGCGGCGAAGGCCGCGTCGGCGAGCTTCGCGAGCCGCGGCGCCATGCGGCCCAGGGCGTGCTTGTCCACGGGCGCGCGGCGCGGCGGCGGCCGCGCGACGGCCCTTAAACCGTCGTAGTCCGCGTGCGCCGGGAGCAGGTCGACGGCGACGTGGCCGTGGGCCGTCTTCTGGGTCCGCGCGTCCGGGTGGCCGTCGGCGAGCGCGCGCGCGACGGCGACCATGCGCTGCTCCCACTCGTCGTAGGTCTCCTTCGTCCAGTGGTTCTCGTAGCTCAGCGGCGTCTTCACGTGCGCGCTCTTGTGCGTCAGGTGCGCGCAGAGCGCCGCGAGGGGGTTCTGGAGCCGGCCGTCGCCGCCGCCGCGGAGCACGGCGCACTCGCGGAACGTGTTGAGCACGCGCCGCGCGGACGCGCCCGTCACCAACCGGTCCGTCGTCGCGCGCCGCGCGAGGAGGTGCAGCGGGTGCCAGCCCTCGCCGTCGGCCGTCCGCGCGGCCTTGGACGACCACGTGAGCACGGCGCGGAGCACGTCGGCGCCGACGTCGGGCTTGCGGCGGAGCAGGCGGTGGAGCAGGAAGCCGCCGTGCTCGCCCGCGTCGCGCGCGTTCGCGCCGTCGTACCTCCGGAGCAGCCGATGGCAGAGACCCTCGTCGGTCTTGCCGTCGTCGACGACGTCGCCGAGGTCCGCCGTCTCGAGGTCGACCTTGTGCCGCTGGTGCTTGTGCGTCTTGACGTCGTGGAGGCCGTCCTCGAACTTGGCGAGGTTGAACTTGTTGTCGAGGTCGTCGTCGGAGCTCTCGGAGCCGTCGCCCGCCCTGCCGTCGGCGGCCTTGAGCATGGCCTCGTGGAGCTCCGGGGGCGCGAGGTCCAGGGACGTGACCTTGCCCTTGCCCGCGAGGCGCCACGACTCGGGGTAGGCCTTGACCAAGAGCTTGACGCACGCGACGGCCTGGTCCGCGTTCCAGGCGTAGGCCTCCTCCTCCGGCGCCTCGGGCTCGTCGTCGTCGTCCGCGCCGCCGGCGAGGCCCACGGCCACGGACGCGCGGCGGAACGCCGCGCGCACGTTCTCGACCTTGGTCTTCTTCTTCGGCGGCGGCCTCCGCCGGGCCCGGCCGTAGTTGCCGCTCGCGATCTCCTGCTCGACGACGTCCTTGAGGTCCGCGCAGGTCTGGCAGAAGAGGTGGATCGGGAGGTCGCCGCGCTGGTCGCGGAGGCGGCAGGCCTTGGCGCCGGACTTGGTGTCGAGGAGGAGCGCGAGGATGGCCGCCGCGCGCGGCCACGTCGGGTTCCGCATGCAGAAGAAGTGGAGCGGCGTCCAGCCCCGGAGGCCCCGGTGCGCGCCGCCCTTGGGGTGGGCCGCGTTCAGGCTGCGCACCATGTGGGGCGTCGCGGCCTCGCAGCCGTTCATGAGCGTGTGGATCGGGAGCATGCGCTGGAAGTCCTCGCGGAAAGGGGCGCCCGGCGACGCGCGGAAGAGGTAGTCGAAGGACGCGTCGTCCAAAGTCTCGCCGCAGCGGTCGAGGCAGCGCGCGAAGAGCGCGTGGCCCCGGTCGTCGAGCACGTCCGTGATGCCGCTGTAGTGGCCGTGCGCGTGCTTGAGCACGTCGACGACGCCCGGCGCGTCGCCCGCGTCCGCCGCGCGCCGCGCCTCGAACTTGAGCTGGCCCTTGAGCCGCTCCGCCTCGAAGCGGTCGTGGTCGTCGCGCTTGACCATGTCGAGCGCGTTCTCGCGGAGCGCCGCGACGCAGGCCTCGCGGTGCGGCAGGTCGAAGGGCAGCAAGCTCTCCGCTGTTTTTTCCCCTAACCCGTTCTTCCGCGCCTGGGGCAGGCACTCCGTCGCCGCGCCGGGGTAGGCCGCGCGGAGCGCGCTGAGGAGGGCCGGCGTCGCGCGGACGCCGTGGTGCGAGTTGTCGCCCTTGTTCCGCGCGTGCTGGCACAGGAGCTGCAGCGGCAGCCAGCCGCTCACGATGGGCGCGCGCGCGGCGGCCGGGTACAGGACCGTCAGCGCGCGGACCATCGTCGTCGTCGGGCGCGCCGTCGTGTGCGCGAGGATGTGGAGCGGGAACCAGCCCTGCTCGTTCGCCGTCTCCGCGGCGCGCCTGCGCGGGACACAACCCGTGGAACGGCCCGGTCCAGACCAGTGGAATGGCCCTGTCCAGCAAAACTTCGAACCTCTCGATCTCGGTCGCATCGAAGTCGATTCGACTGATGTTTGGACGGATCGTTTTCTCTCGGCGAATTCTTTTCAGACGGCAGAGAAACGATGTCGAACTCGTGCAAAACCATGCATATTGAAGTCGTGTTGCATATTTTTGCTCCCTGCCCCGCGGCGCGCTCGTCCCAGCGGAGCACCGTGAGGAACTGGGCCTCCGTGAGGTTCTTGAACCGCAGACAGGCCTGGGCAGATTCAACGTCGCTTCAACGTGAGTGTTCCACGCGCGCGTGTTCCGGGAAAAGCATCCACGCGTCGAGGCCGCTCCGAGAGATGATCGCCCGTCCAAAAATCAGCCGAAACGAGCGGAAAACGGCCGAGATCGGAGCCTTTGAAGCTGGGAATTTCGCTCTCTTGTGCTGCCCTGAAACAGGCGTGGAGGAGCAGGTGGTTCTGCGCGTTGCGCTCGTTCATGATGTACTGCATGACGCCCTCGACGTCGCCCTTGGCCGCCGCGGCGAGCAGCGCCGCCTGCTGGGCCTCGGCGGCGCGCTTGTGCTTCTCCTCGTGGTACTTGCGGTCGTTCTTGTGGACGCCGTGGTCGTGGCGGTGGTGCGCGTGGTGGTGCTTCGCCGGCGCCATGGGAACGGCGCGCGTCGAGGGACTCGACGACGCTACATGGGCTCAGCCCATGGTTACAGGTCCATGCCCGCCCGCGGGCGCGGGCAGCGCCGCTCGGAGAGGTCGGTGCTGAAGGACAAGAAGCAGTGCTCCTGTGGTAATTTTGAGGGCATGGCTGCCAGATAGTCGCCGCGCCCCCGCCACAAACATGGGTTCCGACGACGGCGCCAAGGGCCGCGACGGGCGGTCCTGGTGGAGCGCCGTCGCCTTCCTCTTCTTCTTCGTGGGCCCCATGCTGGGCCTCGAGCAGTACCTCGCGGCCCAGCGGCGCCTGCGCGTCGCCCGGGCGCTGGCGGTGGCGCCGGCCGCCGACGCGCGGCCGCCGGCGGCGCCCGCGGCGCCCCCGCCGCCGCCACCCGCGGCGCGCTCGCCGCTGCCGCCCCCGCCGCTGTCGCCCGCGGCGCGCCCGCCGCCGCCGCCGCGGACGCCCGCGGCGCCCCCGCCGTTGCCGCGGGCGCGCGCGCCGCCGGCCGACGAGCCCGAGGGCGTCGCCGACGCCGTCGCCGCGGACTCGCTCGCGGCGCCGCCGTCCCTCGTCGACGAGCTCGTCGCCCTCGCGGCCCTGCCGCCGAGGGAGGCCCTCGCGTACCTCGACGCGGACCCGCTCGACGTCGAGCGCGTGTCGAACGCGACCGCGTGGACGTGCCCCGACCGGCGGCTCCTGAGCTCGTCGCCGCGCCGGAACCCGTCGCGCGCCGCGGCCGCGAACCTCAAGGCCGCGAAGCCCGGCGCCTTCGTCTGGTTCGACCACCTCTCCAAGGCCGGCGGCACGAGTTTCTGCGAGTTCGCGCGGCGGAATTTGGGCATCAAGCGGACGCCGTCCTACTACTGCATGCCGCCGGACCCGAAGGTGCCGGGCCCCGACGGCCGCGTGGGCCGCTGGCCCGGGCCCCAGCTCAAGGGGTATATAGAACGCACGAAGCACGCCGTCGTCGCGAACGAGTGGGACGCGTTCCCCGCGCCCGTGCTCGAGCGCGACTTCCGCGACGCCGCGGTGCTCATGACCATCATCCGCGATCCCCTCGACCGCCTCGTGTCGACGCACAAGTTCTGGGGCATCCTCAACAACCCGGCCAAGGTCAAGCCGGAGCTCGTGCCCTGGCTGAAACGGAAGAACGCCGCCGCGCGCGCGCGGCCGATGCGGCGCGACACGACCAACGACTTTCTGTCGCAGGTCGGCCGCGACAACTTCGCGACGTGGAAGTTCGCCTCCTACGCCGAGCCGCGCTTCGACGACTGCAAGGGCGACAAAGCCTGCGCGCGCGACGCGCTCGCGACGGCGCTCGCGGTCCTCGAGAAGTTCCACGTCGTCGTGCCTACCACGTGGCAGGCGTGGGCGGGGCCGCTCTACGCGGGCTTCGGCTGGACGCGCCTCGAGGAGGTCCACGTCGTCAACATCGGCAAGGTCCAGTCGTCGTCGTCGAAGAAGGACCTCGCGCCGTCCGACTACGCGGCGCTCCGCGAGGCCAACGTGCTCGACGAGGTCCTCTGGCACTGGGCGCGCCGCGCGTTCCTCGAGCGCCTCCGCTGCCCGCCGGAGCTCTAACATCGCCCGTCTTTTTACGGCGGCGGGTTCCACCGGTCGTACGCGTAGAAGGCCCTCGGGGCCGGAGCTCCAACGTCGCCCGTCTTTTTACGGCGGCGGATTCCACCGGTCGTACGCGTAGAAGGCCCTCGGGGCCGGAGCTCCAACGTCGCCCGTCTTTTTACGGCGGCGGGTTCCACCGGTCGTACGCGTAGAAGGCCCTCGGGGCCGGAGCTCCAACGTCGCCCGTCTTTTTACGGCGGCGGGTTCCACCGGTCGTACGCGTAGAACGCCTTCGGGACCGTCGCCGCCGGGCTGTGGTAGAGGAAGTAGCCCTCGGGCGCGGGGTCGCGGCCCCGGTCGCACAGGTTCCGCGCGTAGGCGATGACGTCGGCCGGCGCGGCGACGCGGCCGTCGCGGCCGCAGAGCAGGCGCGGCGGCCCGCAGGCGGCCTCGAGCGGCGCGAGGACGGGCGACGACGGGCCCGCCGCGTTCGACGCCGCGCGGCCGCGGCCGATCGCCGCTTCGACGGCGTCGACGGCGGCGTCGAGCGCCGCGCGGTGCGCGGCGCCGCCGGCGGCCGCGCCGGCGTCCGCGAGGCGGTGGAGCTCGAAGGCCGGCGCGGCGCGCGCGGCGGCCCAGGCGTCGCCCGGCGGCTCGAGGAGCGCCGCGGCGGCGGGCGCCTCCCACTCGCGCGCGAGCGGCGCGTGCTCGCGCACGGCGACGGCGAGGAGGGTCTCGTAGCGCCCGCAGGCCCGCGCGGCCGCGGCGACCGCGCGGCTCGGCGGGAACGCCTCGGGCCGCCGCCGGAGCGCGCGGAGCTCGTTGAGCGGCGCCGCGAGCCACCACTCCTTCAGGGTCTGCACGGGGTCGACGCGGTCCATGCGCACGTGCCACGGGCCGCCCTGGCCGCCGCCGCCCTCGCTCCGGTGGGGCGTCGGCCAGTCGAAGCGCGCGGCGGCCCGCGGCGCGGCGCCGATGAGGTCGAGCAGGTTCGCGCGCGCCGGCGCCGCCGACAGCAAAGCGCCGTCGACGGCCGCGAGGTGGTCGACGTCGGGCCGCGTCGACAGCACGCGCGCGTAGCGGCGCCCCGCGGCGCGCTCGACGGCCTCGAAGAGCTCGAAGGCGGCGCGCCGCTTCTCGAGGAGCGGCGCGGCCAGTTGTCTTAAACCGAAGACGGCGAAGCCGTCGAAGGCCGCGGCCCAGCGGTTTTCGGACGCGCGCGGCGCCGCCGCGACGTCGACGACGAAGTAGCACTCGGCGTTCGCCAGCGGCGCCACGAGCCGCGTCGCCACGCGCTCGGAGATGCGCACGAAGGTCCGCGCCTCGCCGGCGAAGACCACGGCCCAGGTTGTTGTTCCGTTGCCGCGGAGCGCCGAGGCCGTCGGCGCGCGCTCGACGCGCCGTCGGAGCGCGGCGACGAGCCGCTCGTCGTCGCACCGGGCCGTCGCCCACAGCAGCGCGGCGGCGATCACGCGCCGGGCCGCCATGCTAACATTACAGGGGCTGCCATCCTGGGCGCGTGGAGTAGTTGAAGCACGGGTTGAAGTCGTTTTCGACACGGGCTAAAACCGAGAATTCGCAAAGTGACGTGGGTTGATCGATGATGGCGTCTGCTCTCCCCGCAGCGCCTGCGCCGACGCCCCAACCCATGACGGGGGTGCAGTCTACATCGGGCGCAGTCTACACGGGGAACACAAGAAATATGCGTTTCCGGTTCAACGACTCGCCGCGCTGCGAGCGGAAAGAACCGAATCGTCGCGTCGCCGCTGCTCTCCCTGCTGCGCCGGCGCCCCCGGCCATGGTGACGCAAGACCGCGCCGTCTACGCGGGGAACACAGCGACGATGCGTTTCCGGTTCAATAAGACCCCGCCGCGCGGCGAGCGAGCGGAATTCTCCGCGACGGCGACCGCGGCGCCGAATTCGGGCAGCGTCGCGACGCGGAGTTTGTAGAACTCGACCGCCTCGGCGCCCGATGCGCGCCCGGCGAGGCGCGCGTCGCGGACGACGTCGAGGCCGACGCTCTCGACGACGCTCTGCACGAAGCGGACGACGCGGCGGCGCCCGACGCCCGAGCCCGAGCCCGCGGAACCGGAAACAACGGAGCGGCGCGGTTCCTGCGCTTCGCTACGACTCCAAAGGCCTCCTCGGACCCCGCGCGACGCGACCAGCCATGGACGACCTCGGCTTTGGGCGGCCCGCGCGGCGCGGGCCTCCGAGGTCCGCGCGGTCGCCATCGCCGCCCGGACCTCCCCCGGACCCGAGAACGCCGACCCTTTCCCCCCGGTAAGGCGACCATGCTTGCACCCTGGATAGCGTCGTGGTCAGGTGTCGCCATATACTTGAAGCCTTCAGTGAAGGCACATTGCCGGGAGCAGAGGCGCGATGGCGGCGCTCGTCGGTACCTCTCCATGCCCCACGGTGCTCTACGTCATCTCACCCGCGGGCAAGCCCGTCTGGTGCAGCGACACCTCCGTAAGCGAGGACGCGCTGTCGCCGACCTGCGGCGTGCTCACGGCCGTCGTCGCCCTCGCCGAGGACTGCGGCGACGAGGTCGTGGGCCTCGTCGCCGGCCGGTCGCGGGTCGCCCTCGTGCGGCGCGGCGAGCTGCTGCTCGTCGCCGTCGGCGCCGTCGAGGAGTGCGACGCCGCGCTGAGAAGCTACGTCGCCTACGCGCACGACGCCATCTGCATGGTTTTAACCGTCGGCGTGCACGCCGTGCTGAAAAAGAGCCCGAACCGCGACGTCCGCGAGCTCCTGGGGTCGTCGACGGCGACGATTTTGGAGGGCCTCGCGGGCCGCGTCGACCGCCGCGGCGGCCTCGGGCCGCTGTCGCTGCTCATTGGGGGGCCGCCGGCGCTCGCCTTGGATCCCCAGGTCCGCGGCGCCGCGGGCCACGTGCTCGTCTCCGCGCAGAAGGCCGCCGCGGAGCGCTGCCCGTCGGCGCTCTACGGGATCCTCTTCTGCGGCGGGCGGCTCGTCGCGGCCGCGCAGCCCAAGTGCCGCGGCGGCGACGCGTCGCGGCGGCTCCGGAGCGTCGACGTCTTGCTGCTCTTGAACTTTGTCGAGTCGCAGAAGAAGGCGCTGCTCGAGAGCGAGTCCTGGACGCCCGTGTGCCTGCCCCGCTTCAACGACCGCGGCTTCCTCCACGCCTACGTCGCCTACGTCGACGGCGACTCGGGCCTCTGCCTCGCGTTGCTCGCGGGGCGGCAAAAGAGAGCGAAATTCCCAACTTTGGAGGCTCCTATCTCGGCCGTTTTCCACTCGTTTTGGCTGATTTTTGGACGAGCGATCATCGCTCGGAACGGTCTCGAAGCGTGGATGCGTTTTCCGGAACGCGCGCGCGCGGAACACTCACGTTGAAGCGACGTTGAATCTCTCTTGTGCTGCCCAGGTTGCTCGCGGGCGACAACGCGCCCGAGACCTTCGAGACGTTCCGCGGCGCGCGGCGCGCCATCGAGAGCGCGCTGCGCCGCGACGGCGTCCTCGCGGCGGCCGCGCGCGCCGCCGCGCAGCCGGCCGACGCCAGGCTCGCGGACCTGCTCCCGGCGGACTGCCTCCACTGCGCGGTCGCGTGCCGCGAGACGGGCGCGGACCCCCCGGGGGCGTACCTCGAGGACCCGGGGCCCCGGCCGCCGAAGCAGGCGCTAGCGCAGTGCGCGGCGACGCAGCCCTTCGAGCCCGAGCGCACGTGGCGCGAGTACGAGCGCCTCGCGGCGCGCTGCGCGCCGCCGGCGCCGGCCGGCGGCGCCGCGGACGCCGCGCCGCGGCACGCGGGCGCGCTGGCCCTCGCGACGCGCCGCGGCCTCACCTACGTCGCGCTGCCGGGCCCGCGGCTCGTCGTCTACGCGACCTTCGCCGCGCACGCGCCCGTCCGCGCCGTCGGCGACCGCGTCGCCGCGCTCGCGCGCGGCCTCGAGCGCGCGTCCGCGCGCCTCTTCGCGGAGCCGTTCCTCTACTAACGGGGCCTATTTGTTGTTGTTGCCTGGCAGCGGCGTCTAGCTGGCGTATTCGCGAGGGCCTCCTTGACCGCGGCGGCGGCGGTCTCGGGCACGATGAAGGGCACGTCTAACGCCGCGCGGAAGTAGTACGCCCTTTTAGGCGGGTCCTGCGCCGCCGATTATGGCGAGGTCTACGCACTTGAGCCCTTGGAGCAACTCAGGCTCCAATCGACTCATGATTTCCGCACGCCCTGCTGGTGACCCGGCGTTTGATGCAAGATATATGTGAACACCATCGGATGTACTACTCGACCAGAACGGTGCGCATCCTGGTCATCGTGTCCGTTCGACACGCAGTATTCGAGCTCGACAAGGAGGAGTCGCATAGTCTCCTGGTTTGGCATCTCTGCCTCCGAGTCCGCATTTGTGGCCTTGCATCCAGCTTGCGCGAAGGCGAATCATGGGGACCAGAACTGACAGGGCCAGCGAAGGCTTTGACATCATCGGAGAAGAAGGAGAACGGATCCCAAACCCCGTCGCGACCCCCGCCGGCGGCGGCGAACGCGCGCGGAAGAAGATCAGCCCGAGAGAGCATGGCTGCCCCGACCGAGAAAACCAAGCAGCCCGACGCCAAGCACACCATGGACGACGACGAGAGCTGGACGTCCGTGTCGTCGCAAAACGACGCGGCCCAGGAGGACCGCCCGGAGCGGGACATGCCCGAGGAGCTCGTGCGCGCGCCCGCCGAAGAAGCCTGGCTCTTCCAGACCGACGACCTCGTGGACGTGCGGCGCACCTTCGCGCGCGTCTGCGACGGCGCGCGCGCGGAGGTCGCGGAGGCACGCGTCGACGCCGGCGAGCAGCCCGCGGCGGCCGCCGCCGACCCCTCGCCGCCCGCCGCCGACGCCCGCGCCGCGGCGGCCGCCGCCGACCGCTCGCCGCCCGCGGCCGACGCCCGCGCCGCGGCGGCCGCCGGCGAGCGCGAGCTGCCCGCGGCCAGCTACGACACGCACAGGCGGGGCAAGCGCGCCGACGGCCACTCGCTGCGGCGGCGGTACGCCGACAACCTCGAGCCCGTCGAGGAGATCGAGACCGCGCGGCGGCCGGCCGTCGGGGACGCGTACCCGTACAGCTCGGGGCCGCTCACCGTCGCGACGACGCCCCTCGACGCGCTGCTCCCGGAGCTGCTCGGCACGAAGTGGAGCCGGGGCCACGGCACGGCGGCGCTCGCCAAGGGCCGCCGCTGGGACGACGCGCGCGAGCTCCTCGACGCGCTCGTCCGCGACGGCAGGGCGAGCGCGGACCGCGGCGTCGTCGTCCGCGAGCGCGGCGTCTACGGCCTCCAGGCCCACGTCGCGACGCGCTACAAGGTTTTAGCCGCGGGCACGGCCGTCTTCGCGGCGGGCGGCGGCGCGCGCGCGCGCGCCGCCGCGAAGCGCGAGGCGCGGGTCCGGACCGTGTTCCGGGAGACGCGCGACGGCGGCGTCGAGGCGCTCTACGCGCTCCCGCGGTCCGGCGAGCCGCCGGCGGCGCTCGTCGAGGCCCAGGGGCCGGACAAGCGCGGCCGCGTGCCGTCGGCGCTCGAGGCGCGGCTCCGCGAGCCGAACGCGGGCCGCCGGGGGGGGCGGAGCGCGAAGAAGCGGCGGCCCGCGCGCGCCTGGGCGCCCGGCGCGCACATCGTGTGCGGCGCCGGGGACTGCGTCCGCGCGTCGCGCCGCGCCGTCGCCGTCGGCGCGTTCGTCGACGCGTTCGTCGACGTCGATTTCGCGCGCGACGTCTTCGTGACGCACGTGTCCTTCGGGGGCCGGTGCCACGACACCTACGCGTGGCGGGACGGCGACGGCGTCGCGCACGGGGACGTCCAGGTCGCCGTCGAGGGCACGGCGTCCGCGCCGCCGCGCGTCGCCGTCGAGGCGCGCGTCGGCAACAGGGCAGCAAAAGAGAGCGAAATTCCCAACTCCAAAGGCTCATATCTCGGCCGTTTTCCACTCGTTTCGGCTGATTTTTGGACGAGCGATCAACTCTCGGAACGGCCTCGAAGCGTAGATGCTTTTTCCGGAACGCGCGCGCGCGGGACACTCACGTTGAAGCGACGTTGAATCACCCTTTTGCTGCCCAGGTCGGCAAGGGCTGGCTCGACCTCGGCGACTTCCGGGGGCCCGAGACGTGCTTCGAGGAGGCCGCGGCGGCCCTCGGGAACGCGCCCGGCGCGTCCGCGGACGGGCCGTGGCTCGGCGTCCGGTGCCGCGCGCTCCGCTTCCGCGCCGGCGGCGCGCCGCTCAAGGTCGCCGCCTACGGCGTCGAGACGCTCGAGCGCCGCGCGCGGCGGCCGCGCCGCGGCGCCGCGCGCGGCGGCGGCGACGACGGCGACGACGACGGCGGCGTCGAGTACGTCCTCCGCGCGCCCCTCGCCGACGACGACGGCCGGGGCCGCGGCCGCCTGCTCCAGCGGTGGGCCATCTCCCACCGGGAGCGGCGCTACTCGCGGGAGTGGGCCTTCGGCGACAAGTTCGGCTACCGCCGCCGCCGCCGCGCGCGCCGCGACCTCGCGGACCAGCTCCGCGACCTGACCTAGGGCGACGTAACACGGTTACGCCGCGGCCTTGCTCCGGGCGAGGGACGACAGGGCCGTGAGGCGCTGCGCGCGCGTGGGCATGCGCGCGGCGTAGACGACGCGCCGCGCGAGCGACGCGACGGGCCCGGCGACGTTGAGCGCGTCGGAGAGGGCCGGGAAGGCCGACGCCGCCGCGTTGTCGTCGGCGAAGCTCAGCATCTCGCCGAGGTCCGCGTAGGCGAAGGGCACGACCGTCGGCCGCCCGTCCAAATGCGCGCGGACGTTCCGCGCCGCGACGTGCGCCTGCTGGAGCGCCATCTGGGCCGACGGCGCGTTGGCCACGCCGGCGACGGCGGCGCAGTCGCCGAGGGCGAAGCAGCCCGGGGCGCCGCGGACGGCGAAGCCCGCGTCCGTCGCGAGCGCGCCGCCGAGGCCGCGCTTCCGGTGCCGCCGCGTCGACGCCGCGGAGCGCGGCGCCGTGGCGCGCGCCGCCGGTCCAGACGACGCAGTCCGCGGGCGCCGCCGCCCCGTCGACGACGAGCTCGCCGGGCCCGACGGCGTCGACGGCCGCGCCGAGCCGGACGGACACGCCGGAAGCCGCGAGCGCGGCGACGGCGGCCTCGCGGTTCGCGGCCGTCGCGGACGGCACGAGCGTGTCGCCCCGGTCCAGGAGCGTCACGGCGTCGCCCGGCCGCGCGGCCCGCAGGTGGCAGGCGAGCTCGACGCCCGTGTAGCCGCCGCCGACGACGGCGACGGACTTTCCGTCGGCGCCGAAGCCCTCGAGCACGGCGCGGAGCGCCGCCGCGTCCTCCAAGCGATAAAAGGGCATGGCGTGGGCTGCGACGCCGGGCACGGCGTCGAGGACCGGTTCCTTGCCCAGCGCGACGACGAGCGCCTCGCCGGCGAGGACCGACCCGTCCGCGAGCGTCGCGGCTTTCGCCTCCAGGTCGACGCTCGCGACGTCGCCGCGGACGAAGTCGACGCTCGGCGCGCCGGCGAAGAGCTCGGCGAAGGGCGCCGACACCTCCTCCTCGCCGGCGATGCCCACGGCGTACTCGTAGAGCAGCGGCAGGAAGCCGAACTTGTCGCGGGAGTCGACGACGGTCACGGGCCGCCCGTCGCTCGCCAGGTTCAGCGCCGTGTAGAGGCCCGCGAAGCCGCCGCCGAGCACGAGCGTCGACCCGGGAGGCGCGAGCGACGCCGCCGGCGCGACCAGCAACAGGAGCGCGGTCGTGGAGCGCCAGCGCAGGTCGAGCATCATGCGATGAGCTGTCCTCTTTTCACCAAGTCTCAAACATCGGCTCATTGAAGCAAATGGGCTGCGTAATGAGCATGGGAGCTCTAAGCGAGGAGCTCTAGGCGGGGAGCTCTAGGCGGGGAGCGGGCGCGGGAGCTCTAGGCGCGGACATGGCGAGCTACGAGCCCATCGGCGGGGACGCGCCGCGCCGGCGCCGCCGGCGCCGGGCCGCGCTCGCGCTCGGCGGCGCGTCCCTGGCGCTCTGCGGCTGGGCGGCCTCCGCGGGCCCCCGCGGCGGCGCGCCGGCGCTCGCCGCGACGGCCACCGCCGAGCGCGCCTTCGTCGTCTTCGGGGACCGCGTCGTCCTGCCGGCCGTCGGCGCCGCCGGCGGCGGCACGCGCCTCGCGGCGACGAACGGCTACGTCGCCCGCGACGGCAAGGTCATCGGCGGAGACTACTCTTGGGCGACGGGCGCGGTGCTCGACGTCCGGCGCGAGGCGACGTTCAGCCTCGTCGACGCGGCGACGTCGACGCCGGCCTTCGGCGCCTGGACCTTCGATCACCGCCGGGAGGACGAGGCCGCGTGGGGCGGCGCCTGGGCCGGGTCCGCTCAGACGTTCGACGCGCCGGGGGACTACGTCGTCCGCGCGACGTCCGCCGACGGGGCCACAACAATATCGGGCCGCGTCCACGCGCGCTACGTGCGCCGCGAGGTCCGGGACCTGCTCGACGACGACCGCCAACGCTTCTTCGCGGCGCTGCGGACGACGTACCGCGTGCCGACGGCCGAGGGCCGGCGGCGGTTCGGCGACGACAAGTACAAGGACGCGACGTTCTTCGTGCGCGAGCACCTCGAGAGCGCCGGGGGCAAGTGCGACCACTTCCACGACGGTCTGGGTTTCTTGAACTCGCACGCGGCCACCGGCGCGGAGTTCGAGCAGGCGCTGCAAGCGGTCGACGCGCGCGTGTCGCTGCCCTACTGGGACTACACGCGCGACTCCGCGGCGGTGGCCGTCAACGGCAGCCTCGACGCCTGGTACGACGCCGCCCTCTTCTCGCCGGACGCGTTCGGGTCCGCGCGGCCGGCGGACTCGAAGCAGCACGTCTTAGACGACGGGAGCTTCTGGGCCTCGCTCCCCGTGCCCCGCGACCGCGACCGCAACGAGAGCGCCGTCGTCAACGCCTACGGCTACCTCCGGCCCATGTGGAACCCGCTGAAGACGCCGTTCCTCACGCGGTGCTCGTCGACGCTGGGGTTCCGCACGGACCGGTACCCGACGTGCGGCGACGTGCGCGGCGGCCTGCGCCGCGACACCTGGGACGACTTCGGGAACGTCATCATGTACGAGCCCCACGGCACGGTGCACAACATGGTCGGCGGCACCTGGGCCGGGTCCGTCGCGCGCGGCGACCTGGCCGCGTTCGTCGCCAACGGAACATTAGACACGTACGACCTCTTCCAGTTCGTCAACCCCAAGGGCCCCTGGCAGCACGGCGTCCTCGTCTGCCCGAGCTTCTGCAGCGACGACACGGACCAGGCGACGTGCAGCTGCCACTGCCCGAAGCGCGAGGGCTCGTCGGACTACGAGGTCCTCGAGGCGTCGGGGTTGCTCGACCGCTGGGCGGACCACTTCGCGCGGCGGTCGCGGAACCGGAACTTCGTGGCCCGCGCGCCCGGGGCCGGGCCCTACGTGGGCGGCGCGCGGCGCGTCCGCGTCGCCGTGGAGGACGAGGACGCGTTCCTCGCGGCGGCCGTCGCGACGATGTGCACTCCCGGTTTCTCCGGCGGCGTCATGGACTCGGCGGCGAACGTCGACCCCCTCTTCTGGTCCATCCACGCCGCCGTCGAGCGCCTCTGGCAGTGGAAGCGCCTGAGCCCGGCGCCCTATGTGTATCGGTGGCTGCCGGGCTCCGCGGCGTCGAACCCGCACTGCCGCGAGCTCGAGAACGGCCACGACGCCAACAACACGCGCCAGTGGAAGAATCTGTTCGACGCCGACGACGTCTACTACACGAACCACGAGCTCTACGAGAAGCTCGCGCCGACGAACGGCGCGCTGCCCTACGTCTTCGACGGCTTCGACTGGCCCCACTGCGTCGACGTCGAGGCCACGGACGTGCGCCGCTTCTGGCAGGCGTAAATAGCATTGGGTCTCCGCGCCGCTACTTGACTCGAGTCTTACGGCGCCGCGCGCCCCTAGTCCATGAGGAGCTGCTGGACCTTGCGCTTGCGCTTCTCGTCCTTCTTCATCGCCGCGTACTTGCGCCAGTCGTACTTCTTGAGCTTCTTCTTCTTCACCTCGGCCTCGGCGCGGTTCGCCTCGAGCGTGTTGATGTCGAAGTAGTGGGACATCATGCGGCCGTCGCGGTCCTGGGGCCGACCGACGGCGTCCCAGTAGTTGAGGCCGTCGGCGAACTCGAAGCGGCCCGTCGCCTTGTTGAACGTCGCCGTCGCCGCGTACGCGTCGTTCGGGTCGGCGTCGGCGGCCGCCGCGGCCGCGGACGCGTCGATGAAGCCGCAGGCCGGCGGGTCCCAGGTCGTCTCCTGGGTCTTCGTGTTGAAGAAGAAGGGCACGCCGGACGTCGGGTCGCTGTGCTTGACCCACGCCGTGTCGCCGGTCGCGCGCGGAGCCGCGGCGCCCTCGCCGAGGAGCTCGCGCATGTAGGCGCTCTGGGGCGTCTCCGTCTTGCGCTTCTTCGCGAGGAAGGCCTCGTGGCTCGGGTTCGACGACGCGGGCGCGGCGCCGCTCGCGCCGGGCCGCTCCCAGGACGTCGCGCCGCTGCCGGCGTTCCAGTAGTAGGTCGCGCCGGTCTGCGCGTCGACGTGCGACGTCCAGCCCGTGGGCAGCGGCGTGAGCTCTCCGGGCTTCTCCGGCGCCGGCGCCGACGCGTCCGGACCGGCGGCCGGCGCGGCGCTGGTCGCTTGCTCCTCCGCGTCGGCCATGCCTCACCTGTGGCGAGACGGGTGCCCCGCCGGCCCTCGGGATGTTGGCGGCGCGGCCACGCGCCACCGCTGCCACGGCTCCGCAGAGGTCGCTTGCTTTTTTACATTTGCGCGTGCCCGAAGCCTCATCTCCTGGAGCGACCCGAGACCACAGGGCGCTAGCCGCGTGGAGACCGGCGAGCTGCCGCGAGAAGGCTCGCGCCGCGGCTGGAGCCGGAATCCGGGAAGGATCGGGCATGCGTCGGGAACCGGTCCCACACCTGGGGCAGCGACGGGTTCCTATGGGGAGGTGGGCGGCCTCTTGTAGCAAACGGATTGTCGTTGACTGCAAGTTTGTCTGCAAGGCAGCTCATTCGGCACATCGCCAGTGAGTCGTGATGGCTGCCGAAGCGACTGAATTAAAAGCAGTGCTGGAGACGCTGCTGTCGCCGGACAACGCGACGCGCGCCGCCGGGGAGGCCCAGATCGCAGCCTTGAAAACCGCCACACCGATACCGCTCGTGCGGGCCCTTCTCGTCCTCTGCGGCGACTGGTGCGCCGGCGGCGACGGGTCGTCGAGCGTCGGCGCGGCGCCGTGCATCCGGTCGCTGGCCGCCGTGCTCCTGCGGCGCCACCTCCTCGAGGCCTGGGGCGACCTCGACGACGCGACGCGATCCGCCGTGCGATTGACGCTCGTCGCGTCGCTCGCCGCGCCGGGCCCGCCGGGCGAGCCCGAGCTCGCCAAGCTCCTGGGCGACTGCGTCGGCGCCCTCGCGCAGCACGTCGGCGGCGACGAGGGCGCCGCGGCGGCCTGGCCCGAGCTCCCGCCCGCGCTCCTCGCCGCCGCCGCGTCGCAGAACCCGAGCGCCGCCGCGCTCGAGGCGCTCGCGTGCCTCGCGGACGACGTCGCGGGGCGCGACGACGCCTTCGCGGGCGCCTGCGCGTCGGCGCTCGCGGCGTCGTCCCTCGCCGCGGCCGACGGCGACGCGCGGCGCCGGCGCGCCAAGGCGCTCGGCGCGGTCCTCGGAAGCGTCGGCGAGGCGGCCTACGAGGGCGAGCCAGCGGCCGTCGGCGGCCGGGGCACCGTCGAGGCCTACGTCGAGTGCGCCCTCTTCCGGCCGGCCCGCGACGCCGCGGGCGGCGGCGGCAAGGCCGCGGACCGGTGCCTCCGCGACGGCCTCGAGCAGATGGTCGAGCTCGCGGACGCGGCGCCCAAGGCGTTCCGCGACGTCGCGGCGCCGGTGCTCTCCGGCTGCCTCGACGTCGCGGCGACCCCGGGCTTCGGCGGCGGCGCGCGGTCGCTGGCCGTCGAGCTCGCGTGCTCGTTGTGCGAGCGCGCGCCCGCGACGGCCCGGCGCTGCGCCGCGGGCGGCGCGAAGTGGCCCGCCAAGGCCGTCGACGCCTGCTTCGAAATGCTCGCCGAGGACGAGCCCCGCGACGACCCCGCGGCCTGGGAACACGCGCCGGGCCCGCCGCCGGAGCTCGACGCCGCGTCGGGCCGCGAGCTCGGCGCGGAGTTTTTAGACCGCCTCGCGCGGAGCCTGCGGCCCAAGGCCGTGCTCCCGCGCGCGCTCGGCAACGCGGCGCGCGCGCTCGCGGCGGCGGCGGCGGACCTGAACCAGTGGCGCGGCGCGCGCGCGGCCTGCTTCGCGCTCACGCAGGTCGCGGAATCCGTCAACGACCTCGAAAGTTTAAAAAAGACGGACGACGTGCCGCTGCTCTGCGGCGCCGCGGAGCCCCGGAGGAAGCTCAACGGCAAGCGGCGCCGGCGCGACTGGGTCGACGCGCTCCTGCCCTTCGCGACGCAATACCCCGTGGCCTGCGTGCGCTGCGCGGCGCTCGACGCGCTCGCCCAGTCCTGCGAGGACCTCGGGCCGCTCCTCCAGCTCGAGACGCACGCCGTCGTCGTCCCCGCGCTCTGCGAGAGCATCCGCGGCGACGGGAGCCACCGCGCGCGCGCGGCCGCGTGCCGCTGCGCGCTGCTCTTCCTCGACGCGGCGCCCTACGGCGCCGTCGGCCCCCACCTCCCGCTCCTCGCGGAGACGCTCGCGGCGGCCGTCGCGCCCGCGAGCCCGCCCCACGTCCGCGAGCACGCCGTCGCGGCCGTCGCGGCGCTCGCCGAGGCGGCGTCGTACCAGAGCGACGGCTCGACGAAGGTCGGCCTCTACGGCCTCTTCGGCCCGCTGCTCAGCCCCCTCGCCGCGGGCTCCGAGTCGCTCGCGGGCGACGCGGCCGCGACGGCGGCCGTGCGCGCGCGCGCGCTCGAGACCGTCGCCTTGCTCGGCGAGGCCGCGGGCCGCGACGTCTTCGGCGACGACGCCGTCGCGCTCCTCCGCGTCGTCATCCGCGACTACTTCGGGCCGGACACGCGGCCCGAGGACGACGCGGAGCGCACGGGCGCGCTCAAGTCCGTCGTCCGCGTCGCCAAGTGCCTGGGGGCGTCCTTCGCGCCGTTTTTAGAAGACGTGCTGCCCTACGCGCTCGAGGCGGCCGAGGGCCAGCAGGTGCTCGCGGGCGTCGCGGGCGACGACGACGACTCGGACGCCGACGAGAACGACGAGTTCGTGGTGCGGACGGAGGCGCTCGAGGCCCAGGCGAACGGCTGCCAGAGCGTCCTCTTGCTCGCGGACGCGCTCGGCGGCCACTTCGCGGGCGCGGTCGAAAAGTGCTTCCTGACGCTCGCGCCCCTCGTGAGCCACGCGATCGCCGACGACGTCCGGTCCTACGCGGCGGCGGCGTTGCCGGCGCTCGTCGACTGCGCGCGCCTGGGCGACGGCGCGAACGCGGCCGCGGCGCTCCTCTTCGCGCTCGAGGCGCTCCTCGCCGCCGTCGCCGAGGAGGAGGATTTAGAACCCCTGCTGACGGCCCTCCAGGCGACGAAGGCGACGATCGAGGCGGGCTGCCGCGACGACGGAGAAGCAGGGACAGAGGCGCCGCGGCCCGCGACGGCGGCGCGCTGCCGGCCGCTGCTCCTCGGCACGCGCCTCGCGCCGGACAAGGTCCTCGACGCGCTCCACGGCTGCCTCGCCGCGTCGCTCCAGCGGCGCGCCGTGCGCCGCGCGGAGGCAACGATGGACGAGGACTACGACGACGACGCGCGCGAGGCGCACGAGGAGGCCGCCGCGCTCGACGGCATGGTCGTCTACAACGTCGCCGAGGCGCTGGGCGCCGTGCTGCGGACCCACGGCGCGTCGGCCTTCGACGCGCTGAAGGGCGCGTGGCTGCCGCGCCTCGCGGACATGGCCGACGAGCGCTGCGTCGAGCACGACCGGAGGGTCGCGGCGTTCGTGCTCTGCGACGTCGTCGAGTTCGGCCCTTTGGCGCCGCCGGGCCTCGACGACGCGACGCGCGCGCGGGTCCTGGGCGAGGCGGCGGCGCTCGTGCCCGCGCTGCTGCGCCTCGCGGCCGAGGGGTCGCCCGCGCGGCGGCAGGCGGCGATCTACGGCGTCGGCGCGGCGGCGTCGTCGCTCGGGCCGAGCGGCCACTTTTCGCCCCACGCGCCGGCCGCGCTCGCGTCCATCGCGGCCGCCATGGCGCTGCGGCCCAGCGACGCGGCGCTCGCGGCCGGCGGCGCGAGCGACGACGACGACGACGGCGACGACGACGGCCCGGACGCGGCGGCCGACGAGATGGTCGCGGACAACGCGGCCGCGGCGCTCCTCAAGGTGCTGCGCGCGGCGCCCGGCGGCGGCGGCGGCCAGGCGCGCGCCTGGGTGTCCTACCTGCCCCTCCGCGCGGACCCCGAGGAGGCCGCGTCGTGCCTCGACGCGCTCTGCGCGGACCTCGTCCAGCCCGGGCTCCTCGGCGCCGTGCCGCTCGCGGACAAGGTCGCGTGCGTCGCGCGCTGCGCCGCGGCGCTCCGCGAGAACGCCGAGGGCACGACGGCGCGCGTCGGCTCGGCGCAGAAGTCCGGCGCGAGCCGCGGCCGCGGCCGCGCCGACGACGGCGGCCAGCGCGCCGCGCTCCTCCGGCTCAAAGCGGGCCTCCTCGCCGTCCAGGCCGCGCACCGGCCCGAGGACCTCATGGCCGCCTGGCAGACGCTCCCCCACGACGCCCAGGCCGTCGTCAGCGCCCTCGCCGCCCTGCAATAACACATGGTTTTACTGAAGCTCACGCTACTGCGCGGGCGCGGCCTCCTCCGGCAGGCGCCAGGCGACGACGTCGCCGGCCTCGTAGCAGGCCGCGACCGTACCGTCGCCGAGCCAGGCGAGGGCCGCGGGCGCCGCGGCGTCGCCGCTCGGGTGCGCCGCGTCGCGCTTCGGGAACGCGAAGAACTGGGGCCGCATGGTCTCCGGCCGGTCCGCGCGGCCCTGCCCCCCCTTGCGGAGGCGGCCCCGCGGCCGCCAGACGCGGACGACGCCGTCGGCGGCGGCCGTCGCGAGCGCGCCGCCGGGGCCCCAGGCGACGCGGACCGCCGGGCCCTCCGCCATGCAGACGCGCGGCACGGGGTCGGGCTCGCCCGGCGCCGGCGCCGGGCCCCGGCGGTAGGGGTGGTGCGGCGCGTCGCCGGAGAAGTCGAAGACCGCCGCGCGCGCGCCGCTCACCGCCAGGTCGCCCAGACCGCTCCACGCGCAGTGAGCGCCGTCGCAGCCGCACGACGACCGGAGCGCCACGGCGCCGTCGGGCTCGCCGCCCGGCGCCGCCGCGTCCCAGAGCTCGACGGCGCCGTCGAAGGTCGCCGCGGCGAGCCACGTGGCGCTCGCGGCGAGCGCGCGGAGCGGCCGCGCGCTCGCGAGCCGCGCGGCGACGGACCCGTCGTCCGCGACGAGCACCACGCCGCCGCCGTGGCTGCAGCCGTAGGCCCAGGATTGGACGGCCGGCGGCGCCGCGCAGAGGCCGCGCACGGGCGCGTCGCAGGCCACGGCGTGCGCGAGCGCGCCGCTTCGCGCGTCGACGGCGTGAACGAGCCGGCCCGCGGCGGCGGCGAAGCGGTTCCGCGGCAGCGCGAGTACGCGCGTCGCCGCGACGCGCCTTTGCCGCTTGCCCGCCGCGGCCGGCGCCGCGACGGCGTGCTCGAGGAGCAGCGCGCCGTCGCGCGCCGACGCCACGCGCGCGTAGCCGTCGTCGTAGCACGCGACGGCCCACGACCCGTCGGCGCCCAGCGCGACGTCGTTCGCCTCGGAGTCCTCGACGGGCGCCGACCGCGCGGCGACGGCGCCGCCGGCGTCGAGGAAGACGACCGCGCCGTCGTCCGTCGCCGCGGCGAGGCGGCCGTCGCGGACGGCGGCGCAGCGGATGCGCCCGAGCGAAACGCGCCACGCCACGTCGAGGCCGCCGAGGCGCAGCACCGGCCGGCTCGGCGCCGCCGGCGCGGCGGGCGCCTCGGCCTTGCTGCTCGGAACCAGCGCGCGGCGCATAAAGCGTGCTGCGGAGGTCCGCGGAGAGGCTCGAGAGCGGAACTTGGACGATCTGGACAGCCGACTCGACGTCGGAGAGGACCCTGCTCGCGGGCTCGCCCCAGACTCTGCCCGTAGAGCTCGAGCCCTTCAAGGTCTTTCAATAATCCTTCAAGTAAAGACGCCAACGAGCCTGTTAGGGTCAGTTCCACTCGGACCCCTCGACCCAGTCGTCGTTGGGGTCCTCGGGCTTGGGGTTGTCGACCCAGATGTGGTTCGAGGACGGCGAGTCGACGGAGCTGCCGCCGCCGCGCGAGGAGCCGGCGCCGGCCGGCACCGTCGACGGCCGGAGCGCGGGCAGCGACGCGGAGCCGTCGTCGGGCCCGCCGGCGAGGGGGGGTTTCCGCGGCATCTTGAAGCCGCCGCGGTAGATGAACTTTGGCCCCGCTCCCGAGCTCCGCGCGCTCCTCCTCCCGCGGCGTCTTCGCCTTCCGGGGCTTGAGCCCCATGAGGGACTTGGGCTTGCCCTTGGCGTCGACGGCGCCGTTGGCGTCCAAAGTCTTCCGCCGCGCGATCTCGCTCTTGGACTTCTTGACGGGCAGGGGCCGGTTGCACGCGACGCACGTCGGGACGGGCTGGTTCCGCTTGATGATCGTCGGCCGCGTGACGATGACCTGGTCGTGCTTGCTCAGGCCCATGGCCAGCGCGGAGGACGCGCGCTGGAAGAAGCGGTCGCGCGCCTGGAGCTGGAGCGGCGTCGGCGCTTTCTCGCACTGGGACGCGACGGACGCCTTCGCCTCGTCGATCCACGTCTGCTGCTCCACGAGCTTCTGCGTGATGACGTCGTCGTCCGTGAAGGGGTTGTCGTCGGGCCGCTCTAAAATCATCTGCCCCACGGCCCACATGTCGACCTTCTCCGCGATGTACGTCGCCATCTCGAGCGCGGACTCGGAGATCGCCAAAATCGTGTCGTGGGGGAAGTCCACCAGATAATTCTTCTCCACGCAGAGCAGCTCGTAGGCGAGGCACGCCGACGCGACGCCGTGGGCCTCGTTCGTGACGAACTTGACCTGCATCTCCACGGGCCGCCGCGCCATCGTCGTCCGCCGATTCCCCCCGCCGGGCCCGGACGTGGGGTCGTCGTCGTTGACGATGGTCTCGAGCTTCTTCTGGTGCTTCTGGAGGAGCACGGTCTCGCGCTTCACGACCCCGAAGGTCTTCTCGACGGCCTCGGAGTTCGTCTTCACGTCGCGCTGCGTCTCCCTCACCTCGACGCCGACCTCCTGGACGGCCTCCTTGACGGCGACGATGGTCATGCGGTCCTCGGCGTACTCCTCGGCGATCTCGTTCTGCTTCAATTCCAGGTTCTTGATGAACTTCTCCTGGTTTTCCATTTTCTGGAGCACCTGGTTGAGCTCGCGCTGGACCTTGACGAACGCGTCCTGCCGCTCGCTCATGGAGCTCAGCGACACCTTGAGCTCGTCGCGCATGGCCGCCTCGGCGCGCAGCGTCTTCTTCAGGACTTCGAGCGTCTCCTCCATGAACTCGATCTTGTCCGGGTGGTCCTTGACGCCGGACGCGATGTCGTTGACGTCCGTCGCGAGCTCGCGGTGCGAGTCGTGGAGCTTGATGATCTTCTGGTCGAGGACGAGGGCCGTGGTCCGCACGGTCTTGATCTCGCCGAGGCGCTCCTCGCGCTCCGCGGACTGCGTGATCTGGATGCCCTCGACGGTCTCGCTCGTCGCCGCGAGGCTTTTCTGCGCCTCGTCGATCTTCAGCGTCTCCTCCGCGATTCTCAAATCCTGCCACTCGATGCGCTTGAACATCTTGTCGATGCCCTGCTTGTTGTCGACGGTCTCCTGGTTGTTCTTCTTGAAGCCCTCCTCCAACAGCACGATCTTCTCGTCGACGCCGTCCGCGCGCTCCTTCGTGTTCGACTCGCGGCGGTCGATGGACTCGAGCTTCTCCTGGATGTTCCGCGCGAGCTTCTCGATGAAGGCCTGGCGCGCCTCGGCGCCCTTCTCGAGCGCGTCGACGCGCTCGACGACCTTGTGGATCATGACCTGGAGGTTCAGCGTCTGCGCGTTGCAGCTCGAGAACTCGCGCGTCGCCCAGGCCTTGTTGTTGGCCGTGGCCTCCTGGACGTCGTGGAGCTCGGAGCCGTTCACCTCCCGGAAGTCGTCGAACTCCACGTTCGTCTCCTTGATCTGGTCCTCGAGGACCCGGAGCCGCCCCGCGGTCACCTCCACGAGATCCGCCTGCCACTTGTCGAAGCCCTCCAAGTGCTCCTTCATCTTCCCGTCGAAGCGCCGCTCCATGGCGCCCTGGAGCGTCACCAAGGTCGCCTTGAGCTTCTTCGTGCGCTCGTGGACGTAGTCCTTGAGCTGCTCCACGTCCTCGTACGCGGGCGCGGCGGCCATCTTCCGCTCGAAGGCCTCGAGCTGGCTCCGTAACCCGTTGAACTGCTGGATGGCGAAGGGGTCCGGCGCCTGGAGCTCCTCCTCGCCCTTGGTTTTCGCCGTCTTCTGGCGCACGGCCGCGAGGTCGTCCGCGGACTGGCGGTCCGTGATGTTCGCGACGGTCATGAGGTTTCCCACGACGTCCGTCAGCGAGGAGAACCCCCGGTCGAGCTTGTCCATGCGCTTGAGCTTCTCCGAGACGTCGGCGACCCAGGGCGGCGGCGTCACGAGGTCCTCCTGGATCTTCGCCACGGACGCGCCGAGCTTCGTGATGACGTCGAAGAGCTTCGTGGCGTCGAGGCCCAGCACCTCGCCGTCCGCGGGCACGCGCACGCCGGACGCCGCCGGATAGTGCACGGCCATCTCCACGGCCGAAGTCGACGGCGTCTTCTCCGGCGGCGCGACCTTGGGGGCCGCCGCCCCGGAGGAGCCCGCCATCTCAACGCTGCCGAAGCGCCCGGGCTGATACTGCGGTCGCGGCGGCAAGGTGCACGGCACCACTTTAGAGTTCAAAGCAACTCATGGCGGCGAGTCGACGTCGTCGCGGCCGAACCTGCAGGGACATGGGCGGAAAACACTAGTGCTCGGGTGCGGAGCGCCTCGGCTGCGGAGCGCCTCGGGCGCGGAGCGCCCCGGCACCTCGCCTCGACGCCGGCGCGCCATGATGCAGTGCCTGTCGCCCCGCGGTGCCGCTGGGGCTGCCCCGGCGCCCCCGGGCAGCCCGGCCCCGGCCCCCGGCGGGGCGTCGTCGCCCCCCGAGGGGACGCGGCGGGACCTGCGCATCCCGCCGGAGCTCGTCGTCGTCGACGCCTGCAGCGCCCGGCGGTGCCCCGGGTCGTCGGCCGCGGAGCTCGCGCGGCGGCGGCCGCGCTACGTGCTCCGGGCGCACGGCGCGACGAACGGCGCGCGCATCGCGCTGCCCGCGGTGACGCGCGGCGCCGAGGATCTCGTCGGCCTCGGGGCCTGCCTCGCCGCCGAGTTCCCCGGCGCCCTCGTGCCCCCGGCGACGGCGGCCATCGACCGGGGCGAGGCCGAAGCGGCGACGGCGTTCCTCGAGGCCATCCTGGCCCACCCGGAGCTCGGCCGCTCGGAGACGACGCTGCGCTTCGTCATGCAGGAGCACTGCCCGAAGCTCGACCCCGTGCTGCCCGGGGCCGCCCCGGCGCGCCGCGACGGCGGCCGGGGCCTCGTCCGCGAGGCGCTGCGGCGCACGGCGTCCGCGCGGCCCGACGCGCGCGCGCCGAGCCCGGAGCTCCGGGGCGACTTGGCCCGCCCGCGGACGCGGAGCGAGCCCGTCGTCGACGTCGACGTCGACGAGTCCTGGCTCGCGGCGCGCCGCGTGTCCTTCGCGCCGGAAGTCGACCTGCGCCACCCGCCGCCGCTCGCGCGGCGCCACACGCTGAGCGAGGGCATGCCGAGCCCGCTCGGCGGCGCGCCGCGGAGCCTCGCCTGCGCCAAGCGGGACCTGCGGCCAGCCTTCGCGCCGCCGGCCGGCGGCAAGAACCCCCTCTTCGCCGCGGCGCCGCAAAAGCCCGCGGCGTCGCCCGAGTCGCCCGGCTCGGGCCCCGGCGCGGACTCGCCGCCGACGCCGCCGCCGCCGCCCGACGCCGCCGCGCCGCCGCCCGGGGCCGCCGCGCCGGCGCCCGACGCCGCCGCGCCGGCGCCCGAGGCCGCGCCCGAGCCCGCGGCCGCGGACCCGCGCGAGGCCTCGGACGAGGTGTCCATCGAGGTCGGCGACATCTCCCACTTCGCGCTGCTCTTCCCGACGGACGAGAAGATCGTGAGCTGGGCCAAGGCCCAGTCCGCGGCCGTCGCCGCGGTCCGCGCGCGCGCCGCGCGCCGCGGCGCGGCGGGCGGCGTCGTCGCGTCGACGGACGTGATCCTCGGCTACCTCCGGTCCCTGCTCCGCGCGGCGCGCTACGTCAAGCTCCTCCACGACCGCCTCGCCACGGCGAAGCTCCGCCGCGCGGCGGCCGAGCGGAGCTTCGACGGCGGCCGCGGCGCGGCGAAGCTGTCGCTCATCCGCGTCGCGGCGGCGACGGCGGCGGACGTCGACCACGCGCGCGCCGCGGAGCGGGCCCTCGAGGAGGCGCTCGTCAAGGCCAGCGAGCGCTTCCAGAACGAGGCGCCCAACTTCCGGCGCGAGTTCGAGGCGCGCTGGCCGCCGCTCGCGCGCGAGTTCCCCGCGGACGACGCCGCGGAGAAGCCCTAGAACGCGAACCCCCCGCCCCGCCCGCCGCTTCGTTCGGTCCGCGTTAAGTCGCCGGCCGGCGCGTCTCACGAGTCGAAGCGGGGGCCGTTAGACTAGGGGGCGGGGGGCATTCGCCTAGACGAGCTCGACGCCCGCGGGCGGGATGTAGGACGCGCAGCACGTCGTCGAGAGGCAGTCGCCGCCCGTCTGGATCTGGATCGTCGCGTGGTCGATGCCGTGGGACGCGCAGAGCGCCTGCGCGGCCTTGAGGACGGCGTCCGGGTCGCGCGTGCCCTCGGCGCAGATCATGTGGCAGGAGAGGATGGGCTTGCCCGCGGTGAGCTCCCAGACGTGGACGTCGTGGCAGTCGGCGACGCCGTCGAGGCCGTTGAGCGCGCGCGTGAGCGCGACGCAGTCGACGGAGTCCGGCGCGCCCTGGAGGAGCACGGTCACGGTCTGGATCGTGAAGCCCGCCGTCGTGTAGAGCACGACGACGGCGAAGACGAGCGTGACGACCGGGTCCGCGATCTGCCAGTCCGGGTGCGCCCAAATCAGCAGCCCCGCGACGACGACGCCGAGCGACTGGAGCAGGTCGCCGAGCACGTGCAGGTACGCGGCGTCGAGGTTCATGTTCCGCTTCTCCTTCTTCGGGGGCGGCGCCTCGGCGCCGAGCGCGCTGTAGGACGCGCCGCCCGCCGGCGCGAGCCGCGTCTTCTCGTGGCCGTGGCCGTGGCCGTGGTCGCCGTGGTCGCCGCGCGTCTTCGCGTGGCCGTGGCCGTGGTCGTGGTCCGGCGCCTTGGCGTGGCCGTGGCCGTGGTCGTGGCCGTCGGGCGCCGGCGGCGCGCCGTGGCCGTGGCCGTGGCCGTGGCCGTGGTCCTTCTCGTCCTCGTCGTCCGACGAGTGGTGGCCGTGGCCGTGGCCGTGGTCGCGGTGGTCGGCGGCGTGGTCGTGGTCGTCGTGGCCGTGGCCGCCGCAGCAGTCGCCGTGGTGGTCGCCGTGGCCGGCGGCGGCGTGGCCGTGGCCGTGCGCGTGGCCGTGGCCGTGGTCGTGGCCGAAGCCGCCGTGGTGGTGCCCGCCGAGCACGCGCTCCAGCACGACGTTCATGGACACGCCGAAGAGGCCCAGGACGACCATGAGCTTGCCGTCGACGGGCGCCGCCGTGCCCGCGTAGAACTCGTCGATGCGCAGCACGGCCTCCCAGACCAAGGCGCCCGTGACCAACCAGATGCCCATGGTCGACGCGAGCGCGGCGAGCACCTCGACGCGCGCGAGGCCGAAGGTGTAGTTCTTCGTCGGCCCGCGCTCGCTCAGGTAGATGGCCGCCAGCGACACGCCGAAGCTCGCCGCGTCCGTGAGCATGTGCGCCGCGTCGCCGAGCATGGCCAGGGACCGCGCGTAGAAGCCGCCGATCGCCTCGACGAGCATGAACCCGAAGGTCATGCCCATGCCGATCCAGAGCTTCTCCTTGGCCGTGAACTCCCTCTTGGCGCCGCCCATGGTCGTCGGGGGCCGCCGGCGCGCGTCTTCTGCACGCCTGCGAGCGGTCCAGCTCCAGGTCTCTGGCGGCTCGAGCTTAAGCTGTGGCGCGCGCTCTCCGTGTGGCCGCCGGGGGTTGCTCGGGCTGCCCGGCGGCGTCGCGCGGCGTCGCGGCGTGTGTCCCGACAGAGCCCTGGAAGAAACGCCAGAAGGCCGTGGTCGCGGAGCTCCAGGCCAGGCTGGCGGCTAAGGAGGCCGTCTCTGCGCGGCGCAAGAGCTGCGCCGACGCCCGGGACAACTTGAGGGCGCGCGTGACGTGCACAAGTCGCCGAGCGATGATCGTCTCCTTGTCCAAGCTCATCCTGCGCAGAAACATCAAACTCCCCACTCGGAAATCGGACTCTATGGTCAATGGCCTTATACAACAAAAAAGTCGCCCCGTGCCTCGAGTGCGACGGCCGCTTGCCACTCCCCGGCCCGCTCCCGCTCCCGCTCCCGCGAGCGCGCCGCGTCGCGCGGCGAGTCGCCCGCGTCGCGCGGCGAGTCGCCCGAGCGCGGCGAGCGGCCGGCGCCGGCGGCGGTCACGCCGCAGGCCGCGGCGCCCATGATGACTGAGGCGTGTAGATACGCCGCGGCGGTCGGGAACGCGCGCGCGTCCCGTGGAGGCGAAGATGCTCGCGGCGGGAGGTGCTCCCGGCTCGTCGTCGTGGCGGCTGTGTGGGCAACGTCGCTCGGATTTTAACCGGAGTCTTGCCCGCGCGACGGCGCGGAACGCGGCGGGAAGCTCAGGGGGAAGCTTAAGGCGCTCGAGCAGATCAAAATGCCCCGGCGCCAAATGCCGGCGAGGCCGAGCCCGCGGGCATCTCGACTTTGGGCGAGCAGCATGGCGTCGGAGACGGCACAGTCGACGGCGAGCAAGAAGGTGGACGCGTCGGAGTATGAGGTGACGCAGAAGATCAGCCCGTTCCTGGACGCGCACCTCGTGTTCCCGCTCCTCGACTTCCTCGAGGAGAACACGTCCTACGAGGCCGGGAGCGTCCAGCGGGCGCGCCTGGACCTGCTGGCGCCGACGAACATGGTGGACTACGCCATCGAGATCCGGAGCGCGCTCGGCGACGCGAACGCGGCCCTCGTCGAGGGCGCGCCGTCCGTCGAGGCCATGGAGGCGCGGCGCGACGCGGTCTTCGAGGCCATGGAGGCGCTCGAGGCCAAGGTCCAGCGCGTCGCCGAGGTATTAGAGGACGCCGAGGCCGTGGAGCAGATGAAGCGCGACGGCACCTACACCGCCGCGGACCTCGAAGCCAAACACGGCATCGGCCCCGCGAACTGGGCCGACTACTTCGAGTTCGCGAAATTCCTCTACGAGTGCGGCGACTACGAGGGCGCGCGCGACATGCTCGACCACTACCTGGCCCTCTGCTTCCCCGCGGGCAAGAAGCTCGACGCGTCGGGCTTCCGCGCGCTCTGGGGCAAGTTCGGCTCCGAGGTGCTGCTGAAGAACTGGGAGGGCGCGCTCCACGATTTGGGCCGGCTCCGGGCGGCGATCGACGACTTCGGCGCGCCGCCCCTCGAGCAGCTCCAGCAGCGGTCCTGGCTCCTGCACTGGTCCCTCTTCGTCTTCTTCAACCACGCCAAGGGCCACGACGGCATCATCGACCTCTTCCTCAACGAGAAGTACCTGCAGGCGATCCAGACGAACTGCCCGTGGCTCCTGCGGTACCTGACGACGGCCGTCATCATCAACAAGCGGCGGCGGTCCACTTTGAAGGACCTCGTGCGCGTCATCACCATGGAGCACGACCTCAAGGCCGACCCCGTGACCCAGTTCCTCGAGTGCCTCTACGTCAAGTTCGACTTCGAGGGCGCGCAGCGGACGCTCGCGGAGTGCGACAAGGCGCTCCGCTCCGACTACTTCCTCTGCAACTGCGCCGACGCCTTCATGGAGGACGCGCGCCTCTTCGTCTTCGAGACCTACTGCCGCATCCACACGAAGATCGACATCGGCATGCTCTCGGATAAATTGGTCATGGAGCGCGAGAAGGCGGAGCGCTGGGTCGTCGACCTCATCCGCGGCGCGCTCCTCGACGCGAAGATCGACTCCCAGGACTCCTGCGTCGTCATGGGCACGGACACGACGTCCGTCTACTCCCAGGTCATCGACAAGACCCGGGACCTCTCCAACCGGTCCGCCGCGCTCCTCTCCGCGCTCGAGACCAAGATCTGCGAGGCGAACTAGGCGCGCGCCGCCCCGACGCCCCCGCCCCCCCCCCCATCGCTAACACGCCGTCGCACCTAGAACGCCGGCACGGCCGCGTAGGGGTCCGCCGGGACGGCGCGCGGCGCGCGGACGCCCGCCCAGGCCGCGCGGGATATGCCGTCGTCGCGCGGCGCGCAGTGCGCGTCCCAGAGCGCCGCGTCCTCGGGGAAGAGGCGCCGCGCGTCGACGTCCGGGGCCCACGCCGACGCCGCGACGACGTTCTCCGCGGCGGACGCGTCCAGCAAGCACGTGGAGCAGTGCTTCGCGAAGACCGCGTTGACGCGGGCGACGAGGTGCTTGGCGTCGTAGCAGACGACGAGCGGGTCCGGCCCGGCCCAGAAGGCCTGGGGCCAGAGCGCGACGCGGTGCGTGTCCTTGTATAGCTCGTTGACGCGCGACACGCGGCAGTCCGCGGAATCGCAGCCGCGCGTCGCGGAATCGAGCCAGGCGAAGAGCGCGTCGTCGCTCAGGCCGTGGAGGACGTCGGCTTCGTCCGTGACCACGCGCCGGAGGTGCGCCGCGACGCTCCGGAAGCGCGCCGCGGGCTCGCGCAGGACGACGAACGGCGCGGCGCCGGCGACGGCCGTGCCGTTGCACCGCCGGAGGTCGCGGCAGCCGTCGCGGTGGTCCCGAATCTCCACGCCTCTGCGGCAGCAGCGCGGGTCCGAGTTCTTGCGGCAGCAGGTGACGAGCGCGAGCCAGACGACCGTCGACGCGGATTTCGGGATCCGCATGTACGCCTGGGCAGGAAACGGGTGATTCAACGTTGATTCAACGTGAGTGTTCCGCGCGCGCGCGTTCCGGAAACAGCATCCACGCTTCGAGAGCGCTCCGAAAGATGATCGCTCGTCCAAAAATCAGGCGAAACGAGTGGAAAACGGCCGAGAGAGGAGCCTTTGAAGTTGGGAATGTCGCACCCTTTTGCGGCCCTGATGTACGCGAGCTTGCCGCGGAACGGCACGGGCCCCCGGGGCGGCCGCGGCGTCGGGTCGCCCCGCGCGGGCCGCGAACCAGCGAGCGCGCCCCGGAAGGCCGGCGGTTTCCTCCGCGGCGGCGGCGCCGGCGCCGGCGCCGGCGGCGGCGGCGGCGGCGCGCGCGCGACGTCGCACGTGTGCTTCATCACGAGCGGCTCCTTGAGCGCGGGCCGCAGCGCGGGCGTCGCGGTGATGCGGTCGCAGAGCTCCGCGGCTATTCTATGATTCGCCGTGGCGCCGCAGGCCATGCCGTAGGGCTCGAGGTCCGCGCAGAGGAGCGCGTCCTTCGGGCCGACGTTCGCGGCGGCCCCAAAGTCGCCGACGCTCAGCACGAGCAGCGGCCGCGGGCAGAGCCAGGTCCACCTGCGGAGCGCCGACGTGTCGCCGGCCTTGACGACGTGGCCCGTGTCCTCCATCCACTCGGAGAGCGCGAAGGGCGCGTGCCGCGCCTCCAAGTTCGCGATCCAGTGCCGCGGCCGCGGGTCCGGCGGACGCTCGCCGGTCCAGCAGGGGAACGTGCGCTTGAAGCCCGGCGACCCGTGGCGCTTCAGGAACTCGTCGAAGCGCTCCGTGCACTCGCGGCCGAGGTGGCCGATGTAGTCCTCGCGCCAGCAACTCGTCGACGCGCCGCCGTCGCGCATGAGCGCGCCGAACGCGCACGCGTAGCGCCAGGGGAAGGACCAGCCCTGCTCGCTGGCGACGAGGCCGCCCTCGTCCCAGTCCTGGTCCAGGTAGCCCGTCGGCGCGCCGGACTTGTCCGCGGGGCCCTCGACGTCCGCGAGCGCGACCTGCGCGCGAATCGACCGCCGGTTCGGGACGTCCCGACCCAACTTCGAACGAAGTCGATTCGGCTGATTTTTGGACGAATCCATGGCTCTCGTCGAGTGCTCGAAGCACAGCAGAAAACCGTGCGTCGAAACCGTCGAGTACTCTCCCATTCGAATGCCGCGCGGAGCGCGGCCTGGTCGAAGCGCCAGACGATCGCCGACCGGTAGCCGCCGCGCGACCGGAGCGCCGCGTCGACGCCCGCGGAGACGAGGGTCCGCTGCGTCTGGCCCGGCGCCCGCGGGTGCGGCGTCCCGTAGACGACGCGCCGCCGGTCGCCGCCGTCGTACCAGCCGACGAGCTCGTCCCACCAGCGCCCGGCGACGTCCGCCGCGACGCCGTCGACGCCGAAGCAGCCGTAGGACGCGAGGAACACGTCGACGCGGACGCCCCGCCGCTCCAGGGGCTCGATGAGGCGCGCGACGTGGCTCCGGCTCACGGCCCGCTGCTGGTCGAACGCGCTCGGCGCGCAGACGAGGCCCCGCCGCAGCGCGCCCGTGTCCACGTCGCTCTGGTAGTCCTCGGACTCGACGTAGAGGCCGAGGTGCATGCCGCGGAAGGACTCGCCGCGCAGGACGAGCGCCACGGCGTCCGCGCCCTGGTCCAGCAGCGTCTCCGCGCCGCCGCGGCAGGCCGCCGGCCGAGAGTCCAGCGGGCTCGTGTCGACGAGGCGCGCGTGCGCGTTCTTCGACGGCTGCGGCGCGAAGCCGCCGGGCGCCTTCCGCGGCTTCGGCTGCTGCGCGCGCGCCAGCGCCAGCGCGCACGCGAGCCAGCGCATGCTCTTGCGCGCTCAGGGCAGCCCCATTGCGCTCGACTTTTTTATTGAAGGTTCAACTTGTTTCGGCAGCCCAGAAGCAGAAGCGATGGCGAGCACGACGCGCCTCGCGTCGTCCCTGCGGAACAGCATGGACGCCGACTCGACCCTGCGGCACAGCGCGGACGCCGACGCGTCGCTGGCGCTGGACCGCCCGCTCCTCGATCCCGAGGCGAGCATCAACGCGCCGGAGGAGGCGGCGAGCGACGACGCGAAGGTGCCCGAGGGCACCTTCGCGTCGTCCGTGTTCATGGTCTTCAACAGCGCCGTGGGCACGGGCCAGCGTCCTGCGGCCGTGACGATTTTCGAGAGTTTTTGACCGGGAAAACGATGAAAAATCGTTACCGACGTGCTTGGTAGGCACGGGCATCCTCACGCTCCCCTACGCCTTCCTCGCCGCGGGCCTCTACGGCGGCGCGCTGTGCCTCGCGTTCTACGTAATCGTCGAGCTCGGCGCCGTGCGGGCGATCCTCGAGTGCACGGCGGCGTCGCGGTCGTCGAGCTACCCGCAGGTCGTGCGCCACTACCTCGGCGACCGCGCGGGCGCCGTCTTCGCGGGCGTCATCGCGACGTACTGCTTCTTCGCCGCGACGGCGGCCTTCATTATTGTGGTGAACGTCGCGTCCCCGACGCTGGCTCTGGTCTACGGCGACGGCGCGGCGCCGGCCTGGGCGTCCAAGTACGCGCAGGTCGGCGCCGCGGGCGTCGTCGTGTTCCCCCTGCTGTTGCTCAAAAACATCACGTCCCTGCGCTTCACGGCGATGCTCTCGTTCGCGGCGATCCTCTACGTCGTCGCCGTCGTCGTCGCGCAATTCTTCGAGCGGCCGGGCGCGGCGGACGCCGGGCCCCTCGACGCCTGGGGCGCCTGGCCGTCCCTCGTGCTGGCCGTGCCCAATGTCATGCTCTCGCTCCAGGCGCACATCCAGATCCCTTCGATCTACGCGGACATGCGGCCGTCGCTCCGATCCGTGAACGCGATGACGGCCGCGGCCGCGGCGGCCTACGCGCTCATCGCGGCGCTCTACGGGATTATTGCCGTCTTCGGGCTGCTGACCTTCCGCCGCGACACGCAGCCCAACATCATGGAGTGCGACTACCGCGCCGGCGACCCGGCGATCGTCGCCGCGCGCGCGTGCTTGGCGCTGACGGCCGTCTTCTCCATCCCCGTGAACCACCACCCGGCGCGCGACGCCGTCTGGGCCATGGTCTCCGGCGGGTCCAAGGCGCCCATGCCGCGGACGTTCTTCTACGGCGAGACGGCCGTCTTCTTCCTCGGCGCTTTGGGCCTCGCGTGCGCCATCTCGGAGCTGTCGACGCTCAACGATTTGATGGGCCTGACGGCGGGCGTCGCCGTCATCTTCCTCATGCCGGGCCTCTTCCTCCGGAGCCGGAGCGGCGGCAAGGGCGACGCGGCCGCGCCGGAGACGCAGGGCCAAGGCGCCGCGGCCCTCTACGTCGCCGTCGCCGCCGCGTCCTTTTGTCTCTGCGTCTACTCCTTCGTCGGCTCCGAGTACCTCCGCGTCGCCACGCGCGCCGCGCCCGAGTAAAAAAGTGACTCATTCGGAAGTTAGCCGAGGCTGTCGACGAAGCCGCGGTGGAGCGCGAGCGCGACGACGGCGGCGGTCTCCGCGCGGAGCGTCGTCGTCCCGAGGGAGACGAGCGTCGCCCGCGGGCAGGCGCGCTTCACGGCCGTGACCTCCGCCGCGGACCAGCCGCCCTCGGGGCCGACGACGACGGCCGCGGGCGACCGGCGGCCGCGGATGCGGAGCGCGTCGAGGAGCGGCACGGCGGGCACGCTCCCCGCCGCGCCGAGGCTCGGCTCGGCGCAGAAGTAGATGGCCTCGCCCCGCGCCTCCGCGCGCGCGCACGCCTCCTCGAGCGACGACGGCGGCAGCAGCCGCGGCGGCTCGAGGCGCTCGCACTGCTCGGCCGCGCGCGCGCACCACTTTTCCGCGTCGCGCCGGAAGAGGTCCAGGCCCCGGGGCGCCGAATGCGCCGCGTCGATGGGCGCGATGGCGACGGCGCCGAGCTCCGTCGCCTTCTCGCACGCGAACCGCGCGCGCTCCGCTCTTTTGGGCACGGCGAGCAGGAGCGTGCACGCGAGCGGTTGCGCGACGTCCCTGTCCCGGAGCCGCTCGCCGACGACGCAGCGGATCGACGCGCCGTCGCCGGGCTCCGGTTCCGCGATCTCGCCGTAGAACTCGCCGCCGGCGTTGAAGACGCGCAGGCCCAGGCCCACGTTGTTCACGCGCGGGTTTGCCGTGTCGAGGAGCACCGACGCGCCCTCGACGAGGTCCGCGGCGCCCGCGTAGCAGCGCAGGCCGGGCGCCTTCAGCGCCGTCGCCGTTGCGACGAGAGCGAGGAGCCGCCCGAGCGCGAGGAGCCGCGCACGCATCGCGTCGGAGAGCACCAACGTTGTGGCAAAAATTTTGAGGTGCAACAGTGCTGTTGACGAGCAGTTTCGCGGGGCAGCCTTCGCGATATATTCGCTCGAGGGAAGAACCCGACGACCACCGACCGGTGCGTTCCTCGCGAAAATGGGGTCGGCGGTCAGCACGCAGAGCTTCTTCGAGAAGACGGACGAGGCGATGGAGATGGGGGCCGCCGAGCCCCACATCCTCAAGCTCGCCTCGAAGCTCGCCAAGGCCCACGGCGTCGACGAGGCCACGGTCGCCATGGGCCTGACGGCCCTGGAGCCCTGCGTCAAGGCGCGCCTCAACCGCCCCATCTCCCAGCCGCTGGACCTCGCGAGCCTGCGGTCCTTCAAGGAGGAGATGCGGGGGCAGCCCGTGGCCCCGGACGTGGCCGCCGCGCTCGGGAAGCTGCCCGCCGCCGCCAAGGCCCGCGTGGAGCAGCTCCTCGACTGTCTCCACCTCTGCGGCGGCTACCTGCCGCGCGTCGGGCTCGGCAGCGCCATGCTCTACAAGTCCATCCCCGGCGAGCGCGTCTACGAGAAGGCCTACTCCTACGGCGTGCGCATGACGGACATGATGGACGACGCGCCGTCCATGCCCAAGTTCAACAACGCCATGGCCCGGGACGAGCTCCGCGACGAGCTCGCGGGCAAGGATCTGAGCGACTTCGTGCTCGTCGCGCACCCGGACCCCTTCACCTTCGGGGAGAAGCCCGCGCGGGAGTCGCTCGCGGGCGCCAAGTACCTCGACCGCGGCGCGGGCGAGCCCCTCGTGGACGTCTACGCGCCCCTCTGCCCCGCGCGCTTCGGGCCGGGCATGGTGCCGGACGTGTCCGTGAACTTCGACGAGGCCTGGACGGAGCTCGAGGAAATGCACCGCGAGGGCAAGGTCCGCGCGCTCGGCGTCTGCAACATGTCCGCGCCCCAGCTCGAGCGCCTCCTCAAGTTCTGCGCCATCCGCCCGGCGGTCTACGAGGCCGAGAGCCACATCCTGCACCAGCAGCACGACGTCGTCGCGCTCTGCCACCGCGAGAAGATCGCCGTGCTCGCGCACACGCCGCTCGGCCAGGGCTCGGTGCTCGACCAGGCCTGCCTCGCGCACGAGTCGCTCACGCCCGCGCAAGTCGCCATCCGCTTCAACCTGGACCGCGGCGTGTCCGTGCTCCCCGGCGCCATGAAACTGTCGCACGTCGAGGAGAACGTCAAGACGCCGCTCGGCCCGATCGTCAAGCGCGCGGACCCGCCCGCGTCCTTCGTCGCGCTGTCCATGGCGGCCATCAACAAGCACTTCCGCGCGCTCATCGCGCCGACGGCGGACCTCGTGGAGAAGGACGGCCACTGGCGCGCGCAGCCCGTCGAGGACGCGCGCCCGCTGCGGAAGGAGGTCATCACGCAGAACGCGCCGACCATCGACCAGCTCCGGCCCATCATCGAAGCGCTACCCAAGCGGGCGACGCCGGCGGAGCGGCGCAAAGTCATCGCGGACCACCTCGCGAAGCTCGGGGACGTCGCCGCGAAGGACCGCCACCTCGGGAAGATGATGGTCGTGCCCGCGGAGATCTTCGAGGCCCAGCCGAGGATCCCCCGGCGCTCCTGCAAGGACGACGACATCACGCCGCAGGTCGACGTCGCCGACCTCCCCGAGGGCGCGCGCGTGCTCTTCTTCAGCCAGCGGTGGCTCACGCCTTCCCACCCCGACGACGCCGACGGCACGAAGCGCAAGGCCATCCTCGCGGCCGCGGCGGCCTACGCGAAGAAGGAGCAGATCGACGTCGCCCAGGTCTACATCTGGTTCGACGTCGCGTCCATCGAGCAGGACGACCTCGCGGAGCTCGTCCGCGGCGTCAACGCGCTCGGGCTCTACATCGCGTCCTGCGACGCGTTCGTGTCCATCGACCACGTCGAGTACTGGGACCGGGCCTGGTGCCTCATGGAGCAGGAGTTCGCGCGCTGCGCGGGCGCGCCGCGCTTCGTCCTCGGGGACCAGGGCCTCGAGCCCACGGACCACGAGATCACGGACCCGATGGAAGGCAACCTCACCGTCGAGGACGACCGCGCGGCCATCGAGGTCCTCTGCCTCGTCGCCAACGACATCCGCGCGCGCCTCTACCTCGGCAACGTGTCCCAGTTCTTCACGGACATCAGCCTCGACATCGCGCTCGACAAGGGCATGGGCAAGGTCGAAGACGACGAGCTCCGCCACAACATCATCGCCACGGAGGGCTGAGCGCCGCGGTGGTGTGTTTTTTGCTTTTGCTTCGAACCCGCCGAACCCTCCCCCCGCCCCCGCTCGCCCGCGCCTACTAACGAACCACGGCGCCGCACGATCCGACCCCGAAGCCTGTCGCCCGATCGGCGCCCTGTCGACGCGCACTCGAGCTAAGTCTGCTGGGTGGTGCGGCCGGCGCATGTTGCACAGCACCTCACGTGCACTGTCTCGCCATCCCAAATTCTCTTTGCGCAGAGTCGCCGACGCCCGAATCGTCTTGATAGAAGCGCCGAGGATGTCCGCCATGAAGCCCGAATCCCGCATCCCCGCGCGTTGCCCGCGTCCGCGCCCGGCCCCGTCCGCGTCGCCCGCGCGATTTTTTCGCGCGTCGGCGCGATACTCGCGGCGCGCGCGTCCGGAGAAACTGTCAGAGGCAGGATCGCGCGGGTTCACCCCCCCCCCGCGCCGCGCAGGTGACGGTGCTCACGGGCTTCCTGGGCAGCGGCAAGACGACGCTGCTCAACCACCTGCTCCTCGGGGACCACGGCATGAAGTTCGCGATCATCGAGAACGAGTTCGGCGAGGTCGGCATCGACGAGAAGATCATCAACCCGCAGATCAAGGAGAAGATCGACGAGGAGATCATCGAGGTCATGAACGGCTGCATCTGCTGCACGGTGCGCGGCGACCTCGTGGAGACGCTGAAGAAGCTCGCGAAGAAGGTCGCGAAGTTCGACGGCATCATCATCGAGACGACGGGCTTGGCGGACCCCGCGCCCGTGGCCCAGACCTTCTTCGTCGACGAGGACATCTCCAAGCTTTATAGTTTGGACTGCATCTGCGCCGTGACGGACGCGAAGCATTTGGTCATGCGGCTCGACGACGAGAAGCCGGAGGGCGTCGAGAACGAGGCCGTCGAGCACTGTGTGGAAATCAAATCTTCAACCCGACTTCAATGTGAGCATATGCGACAGTTTCGATGCAAGACCTTCGGCTGTGCTTCGAGAACTCGACGAGAGCAATCGATTCGTCCAAAAATCAGCCGAATCGACTTCGATTTGACCGAGCTAGAGAATTCTGAAGTTTGGCCCCGACGTCCCAGCTCACTGGTTGATTTGCACACAGGTCGAGCAGCTCGCGTTCGCGGACAAGATCCTCCTCAACAAGATCGATTTGGTGCCCGAGGAGGCCGAGCTCGCGAAGATCGAGGCGCGCATCAAGACCATCAACCCCCAGGCGCCCATCCTGCGCTGCACGCAGTCGAACGTGTCGTGGAAGGAGATCATCGGCGTCCAGGCCTTCAACCTCGACCGCGTGCTCGACTTCGAGCCCGAGTTCCTCACGGATTTGGACGCGGAGCACCAGCACGACGAGACCGTGAGCTCCGTCAGTGTCAAGTTCGAGGGCGAGCTCATGGTCCGGGGCCTTTCCCGGTGGATCGACAAGCTCATCCAGGAGAAGGGCGCGGACCTCTTCCGCTACAAGGGCGTCATGGCCGTCAAGGGCTCGGAGGCCAAGTTCATCTTCCAGGGCGTGGGCATGCTCTTCACGGGCGGCTTCTCCGACTTCACGTGGGCGGCCGACGAGAAGCGCGAGTGCCGCTTCGTCTTCATCGGCCGCAACCTCGACAAGAAGGCCTTGGTCGAGGAGGTCATGGCCTACAAGGTCACCAACGAGCTCCGCTTCAAGATCGGCGACAAGGTCTTCGCCAACACGGGCGACGCGTGGCAGCCGGGCAAGATCATCCGCCTCTGGGACGACGGCAACCCCTACCGCATCGAGCTCGAGGACGCGGACAAGACCAACGTCTGGGGGCCCATGGACGACGACGACCTCGTCCGCGCGCGCGAGTAGGCGACGCGGAGAGATGAACCAGAGGTGAGCTAAGTGTCCGACAATTCGCGGCGCCGGCGCCGGGGCTCGTGAGGGGGGCGGCTCCACGGCGCTTCGCGGCGCGCGGCCACGGGCGGGCGGGCCGACGCCGCGGCCGCGATGCCGGCAGCCGTCTGAGCCGGACGATGTCGAATTACGCGCGGCGCGGCTCAAGGCGGCCGCGCCCCTAGGGATCACGGCGCGATTTGATCTGCATGTTTAGGCCATGTTGCCGGCAAGGCATTGCCCTCCTATTAAATTTTCTTCTCGCTCTCCGCCGCCACTGCAGTACTGCCACTGACGCTGGTCCGTCGTCCGGCGGCTCACGCGCTCGACGGGCCTGGGAGAGCAAGCGGCTCTCACCGACTCTGACGCCTGTCCGCTCTTCGGCAGCGCGCGCTCCGGCACCTCTGCCGCCAGTCCGTCGGCAAACGCGCACCATTGGTCTGCAGGCTTCGGTCGACGCCGGCGCCGACGCGGCCGACGACGGCATGGCCCTGATGCCCGTGCGCTACGTCAAGAACGCGCAGACGGCCTACCCGACGGGCGACCCGAACTTCGCCGTCAAGCAGTCCTTCCCGAGCGTCGTCGGCGAGCGCGAGTCGGACCCGTTCCTCATGTGCGACGAGTTCGGCCCCACGGTGTCCCGGAGGGCCTACGGCAACGACACGGACGCGGGCTTCGACGTGCCCTGGCACCCGCACCACGGCATGGACATTCTGTCCTACATCGTCGAGGGCTGCGGGCGGCACGCGGACTCGCTGGGCAACCGCGAGGTCTACGCGTCGCCGGGCTTCCAGTGGATGTCCGTCGGCAGCGGCGTCGAGCACGCCGAGGGCGGCGGCACGCCCGCGGGCGAGCGGACGCACGGCTTCCAGATCTGGCTCAAGATGCCCCGGGCGAAGATGGGCGACGCGCCGCGCTACGGCACCGTGGAGCCGTCGGCGATCACGACGGTAGATCTCGACGGCGCGGGATCCGTCGCGCGCGTCATCGCGGGGCCGTTCCGCGACGCGACGGGCCCGGCGTCCTTCGCCGTGACCGTGCAGATCGTCGACGTCGACCTCCGGCCCGGCGCGGACTTCGCCTACGAGCGGCCGAGCCACATGGACAACGCCATGTTCTACTGCTTCAAGGGCGCGGGCACGCTCAACGGCGAACCCTTCAAGGCGCAGCAGATCTGCCGCTTCGACACGTCCGGCGGCTCCGTGAAGGCGGCCGTGTCGGCGGGCGCGGCCGGCCTGCGCATGATGGTCTTCACGGGGAAGATGACGAAGGAGGACGTCGTCTGGCACGGGCCCTTCGTCTGCGCGGACCGCGCCCAGCTGCGCGAGTGCTTCAAGAACCAGCAGCTCGGCAGGTTCCCGCCGGTCCGCGTGCCCTACAACTACAAGGACGTCACGCAGGTGCCCAAGTAAGGACGCGCTTTTGATTGGTTCCTAGGGCGTCGGCGGCACCTCGGCGGCCTTGGGCGCCTCCTTCCGGGGGCTGAACCACGTGTGCGGCTTGTACCAGCGCGGCTCCGGCGGCTGCTGCTCCGGCGGCGCGTCGCGGTCCGGCTCGTCCGGCGGCGGCGGCGGCGGCGCGTCGTCGTCGCCGTCCTCGGCGAAGATGTCGCTGCCCTCGGGCGTGGTCCCGTCGTCGCTCTCGTCGCCGCTCGCGTCGCCGCGCGCGTCGTAGCCCTCGACGGCGTAGGACGGGCCGAACGGCGCGTCCGGGTCGTCGTTCGGGGACGCGCTCGGGTCCGTCGTCATGAGGGCGAGCATCTCGCGCTCGAGGGCGTCGGCGGCGGCGGGGTTCATCGTCGGCCGGTGCTCGACGGGCGCGCCCCGCGCGAAGGCCTCGTCGAGCACGACGCTCGCCTCCGGCGGCGCGTCGCCGTCGGCCTCGTCCGCCGCGACGACGGAGACCTCCTCCGCCGGCGCGCCCGGGGCGTCGGCGCCGAGGTCCGAGCCGACGGACGACGCCGAGGAGACGGCGTGGAAGAGCTTGAACGCGCCCTGCTTGCGCGCGGCCGCGAAGGCGTTCTCGCGCGCGGGCTCCCGGGGGCTCTCGGGGAAGCCCGCCCCGTCGTCGACGTGCACGCCGCGCCCGAGGTCGATGTGGCCCGACCGCGTGCGGTGGACGCAGAAGACCGTGGCCTCGAAGAACGACGCGACGGCCTCGTAGGGGCACCTGCGCGCGACTCACATCTTCAACCCGACTTCAATGTGAGCGTATTCGAATGTTGTGACACACGCACGTCCGCCGTGCTTCGAGAACTCGACGAGAGCCATCGATCCGTCCAAAAATCAGCCGAATCGACGTCGATGTGACCGAGCTCGAGATGTTCGAAGTTTGGTCGGGACGTCCCGAACCGGCGGTTGATTCGCGCGCGGAGGGGCACCGGAGGTCCGCGTCCCAGGGCCCGTGCGCGGCGAAGACGGCGCCGCACGCGCGCGAGACCCGGTCCTCGACGCCGTTGCGCAGGTCGCCGCCGTCGTGGCCCATGCAGAGCAGCTCGAAGAGGAGCCGCGTCTCCTGGGACCGCACGCCGAAGGGCCCCCGGTCGAGGCGGCACCGCCGCACGGCGCCACCGAACTGGTCGAAGGACAGGGGCGGCGCCACGTGCTCGGAGACCTCGACGACGCGCTCGTCGAGGCCCTTGAGGCGCACGAAGGCCGTCTCGCAGACCGCGAGCCGCGCGGACGCGTCGAGCCGCAGCCCGGAGCCGACGCCGCCGTCGACGGCCGCGGGCTCCTCGGACGCGACGCGCCAGAGGCAAAAGGCCACGAGCTCCGGGAAGTCGAAGCCCGTGCGCTCGACCTCGCGGATGTCGCCGCGCTTGCCCTTGGCGACGTAGTAGCCCTTGCGCGCGACGGCGACGGCGTCGATGACGAGCGTCGCCTCGTGCTCGCTCAGCACGCAGCCCTGGGACTGGTAGTGGAAGCGCAGGTCCGTCACGGAGACGAGGCCGTCCTGGTCCTTGTCCAACAGCCGGAACATGGTCCGCAGGTGGCCCATCTGGAACCGCGTGAGCACCTGTGTGGAATCGACCGGTCCCGCGGTGGAAAACATGGGTCGAACCCGTGCGAAGAGACGTGCAGAGTGACGTCGCGAATAGTTTTTGGTTCCCGCGCCGGTCGCGACGTCCGCGACGTCGTTCGGCTCCGCGATGACGGACTCGAGCGACGGCAGCGACGCCGCCTCGGCGTCCTCGGCGCGCGCCGGCGACGCGGCGCGGTCCGGCAGCGACGGCGACGCGTCGGCGCGCGGCGGCTCCGGCGCGCGCCCGGGCGCCGCGGGCTCCGCGGCCGCGCGGTCGTCGAGCACGGCCTCCAACCGGTCGATGCGGTCGACGACGGACGCGCGCCGCTTGCGCCGGTGGAAGAAGCCCGCGTCCTTGGCTTCGCCGGCCTTGTCCTGCCACCGGGCGGCGCTCGCGCGCCGGCGCGACCCCGCGGACGGCGACGTCGCGGCCTGCAGCTCGCGGTCCGCGACCTCGAGGTACGCCGACGCGCGCCGCTTCCGCTCCTCCTTCGCCTTGCGCTGGACGATCTTCGCCCGGGCCGCGCGCCAGGCCGTGTCCGAGATGGGGTTCTCGCGCCACTTGCGCACGTTCCAGGGCCTCAGGCTCGGGTTCGCGACGAGGACCCAGAGCACGTGGAGCTCGCGCCACGCGAGGCCGAGCCGCGCGCGCTTGAGGAGCTGGCGCCCCCGGGGGTCGTCGTGGAGGAGCACGTCCCCGAGGAGCTGCGTCAGGTCCCGCGTCGCCAGGTGCGCGGCGAGCGGCGGCGAAGGAGCCGCGGCGTCGAACGTGAGGCAGTGCGCCGCGCACATGCGCCGCGCGTAGACCTCGGGGACCGTCGAGAGGACGAGGCGCGACGCCGCGCAGAGCGTCGGGTTGTTGTGGCGGTCCACGAGCATGACCGTCGACGCGAAGGTGTTGTAGCCGATGTCGAGCCAGCCGATGCGCCCCGCGAAGATCGTCCAGTCGATGCCTAGGAAACGGGCGATTCGACGTCGCTTCAACGTGGGTGTTCCGCGCGCGCCCGTCCAGCAAAAGCGTCCACGCGTCGAGCACGCTCCGAGGGATGATCGCTCGTCCAGAAATCAGCCGAAACGAGTGGAACGCGGCCGAGATCGGAGCCTTTCGAAGTTGGGCGCGTCGCGCCCGTTTCCCGCCCCGGTCGACGCGGATCGTGTTCGCGGTCGCGATGACGTAGATGAGGATCACGCGCAGCACGCCCGTGAAGAGGCCCGTGACGAGCTTCCAGATGCCCAGCACGAAGTCCCACAGGTCGAAGCAGGACCGGTGGTACACGTACGTGCGCACGGAGATGAACGAATTCAGGTAGAACCAGTCGATGCCGTAGACGACGGGGTAGATGACGACCCAGGACCCGATCTGCGTGTAGATCCAGGACCCCGCGGACCGCGCCGCGCCCGGGAACAACGTGAAGCCCGTGATGAAGAACGTGAGGAAGAAGCACATGCAGGAGATGATGAGCATGTTCGAGACGGCCATGCCCACGAAGCCGACGGCGTAGGGCGCGCTCGGCGCCGTGAGCCGGATCCAGAACCACTCGGACCGCGACTGGGCCTCCTCGAGCTCCTTGGCCTCGTCGGCGATCAGATCCATGTCGTCGATGAGGCCGTGCTCGCGCATGCGGTACGTCATCTCGCGGAACCGCGCGACGATCATGAGCAGCGCCTGGGCAGGGAAAAAGATATTCAAAACGACGCCACTCGGAACGCCTTTGACACAACTGCTTCGCCGTCTGTCAAGAACTCGACGAGAGAAAACGATTCGTCCAAAAATCAGCCGAAGCGACGTCGATTCGACCGAGATGGGGAGGTTCGAAGTTTTGCCGGACCGGTCCATGCCACCGGTCGTTTCCGGCACGGCGCAGCGCGTAGTTCATGAGCGAGAACGCGATGACGGCGGCGAGCACGCCGCTGAAGAAGAGGTTGTCCGACGCGTTCGTCGCGATGTGGAGCCAGCCGTCGAGGACGTCGTGGTAGTCCTCGACGTAGCCGTACCACTGCGCCGTGTAGTCCGCGACGACCTCCGCCGCGGCGCGCGACGCCTCGCGCTGGTACTCCTCCACGGCCGCGGCCGTGTCGTTGCGCGACGCGTCGACGAAGAACTCCGTGATCGCCGACGCGTTGAAGAGCGCGACGGACGCGTTGACGGCGTCCGCCGCCGTCGCCTCGACCGTCGACACGGCGCCGTCGACGGCGTCGAAGACGATGTCGCCGACGGCCTCGCCCACCTCCCCGCCGCCATCGACCATGCGCGCCCGGAGCGCCTCTAAAATCTCCGCGTGCGCGACGACCGTGCCGTTCGCGCCCTTCAGATACGTCGCCAACAACGCGTCGACGTCGTCGAGCGTCCGCTCGATCCAGCGCAGGCGCCGCTCGACGTAGTTCTGGAGCACCCAGCTCAAGTAGGCCAGCGCCGCCGTCGCCGCCACGGCCAGCAGCCAGCCCATGGTCGCCGCCATGATCAACCGCGCGCAGTTCCGGTAACTCCGCGACCGCACGCGCTCCTCCCAGGCCGCCTCGACGTCTACCGTGAGGTGGAGCCGCTCGAGGCGCTCGGCGCGCCTCTGGGCGGGCGTCAGGTCGCCGTAGGTCTCGTCCTTGATGACCCAGAGGCCGCTGAAGATGCCGTTCGTCAGCGTCCGCGCGCGGTTGACGTCCTTGCCCTTCTTCGCGGACACGGCGCCCCCGAGCTCGTTGGACGCGCGGATCGACGACCGCATGGCCGCGAAGACCTGGGCGCCCCCAAAGGCCGACGCGTGGCGCTGCAGCGGCCGCGCGGCCTCCGCGCCGTCGTCGACGCGCTCGACCAAATCGTGCCTGGGCAGCAAAAGGGTGATTCAACGTCGCTTCAAAGTGAGTGTTTCGCGCGCGCGCGTTCCGGAAAAAGCGCCCACGCGTCGAGACCGCTCCGAGAGATGATCGCTCGTCCAAAAATCAGCCGAAACGAGTGGAAAACGGCCGAGAAAGGAGCCTTTGAAGTTGGGAATTTCGCACCCTTTTGCTGCCCTGAATCGTGCGCGCCGAAGAGGCCGATGCACGCGCCCGGCGGGTGGAGCAACGCCGCCAACAGACCCCGGTTGTCCGCCTCGCGGAAGACGTAGGACGGCGCGTAGCGCCGCTTCATGAGCACGCCCCGGAGCGCGTCCAAAAGCCGCAGCCCCGGCGTCGCCTCGTACGCGCGCGCCGCGTCCACCACGTCCGGCGCGTCGTCGCCTTTGCCCCGGAAGCGCTTCGGGCAGCACTGGAACGACGCGTCCTCCAACAGCGACTCGAGGATCTCCTCCTCGCGGCGCAGGTCCGC